GTAGAGTTAACCAATGAAGCCATATGAGCCTGGAGTTTCCTTTGTTGGAAAATTTTTACTAATACAACCTTTAAAATTTATATAGGGCTGGTCAGGCTTTCTATTTCTTGTTGGGTGAGATATGGGATTTTGTGTCTTTTAAAGAATTTGCCTATCTCACCTGGTTGTCAAAAGTGTTGTTTGTAATAATCTCTTATTCTTTTTTTTTTTAAGATTTTTATTTATTTATTTGAGAGAGAGAGAGAGTGAGAGAGAGAGAGCCCAAGAGGGGGTAGGGTCAGAGGGAGAAGCAGACTCCCTGCTGAGCAGGGAGCCCGATGCGGGACTCGATCCCGGGACTCTGGGATCATGACCTGAGCCGAAAGCAGTCGCTTAACCAACTGAGCCACCCAGGCACCCAATAATCTCTTATTCTTTAATGTTCTGAAGCCACTGTAGTGATTCCCCTTCTTTTATTCCTGATATTGGCTATGTTTTCCTTTTTTTTTTCTAGCTAGAGGTTTATAAATTTTATTAATCTTTAAAAAAAGAATCAGCTTCTGCTTTCATTACTTTTTATCTTTTGCTTTTCTCTTTTTTCTTTCATTCATTTCTGCTTTTATATTTTATTTCCACCTTCCTGATGGCTTTGAATTTAATGTTCTCTTTTATATTAAGGTGGCAGATGGTATCATTGATTTGAGATTTTTCTTCTATTTTAGGGATTCTAAGGCTTTAAGTTTTCCTCTAAGTGTCCTGTGTTAGCTGCATCCCCATAAATTCTGGTAGGATGTATTTTCATCATTATTGAATTAAAAATATTTTTCTTGTGATTTATGCTTTTGCCCAGTGATGACTTAAATGTGTGCGGCTTAATTTTCATGTATTTGGGGGTTTTTTTGTTGTATTTTAAAAATTACTAAAGTTTACTTAGTATGGTTTTCTTTCAACTTGGATTCATTGGCTTATTTTTTAAACTAGTAATTTGGGCCATTTAATTTAAAACACAGTTAAATTTTTTTGCTCTGAGTTACAGACTTTAAAAAAAGCTGCCATTTAAAGTGTTGAAAGCTCAATTTTTCTTTTCTAGAAATTTTCTTTTTTTTAATTTATGTAAATGTTTATTAATCCTTAGAGTCAATTTTAAAAAGTTCTGTTGAATTTAGGAAAGTCTATAATCTGATTCATTAGTTATCTAACTTGGAGATAGGTAAAAGTAAACTAATTTGTTAAGAAAATATTTCATACTCAGAACATGGAAAAATTTTTATCAAACTCTTGAGCATGCCAAGGAATTCACTGGGAGTTCATAGCCAGATTTCTATTTCTTTATTTGCTCTTTGTTTTCTGCAGTAATTGTGTGGGTCAGACCATGGCTTGAGCTAATGGTTTAACTTTTAAAGTCCTTGCTGGACAGGGCACTCTCCTTTATGTTTTGACCTAGCTCATTTGTACATTTCTGTGTGGCTATTTTATTTCTTTTGACATGAAAGAGAAAAAATTACATTTACACAGAACATTTCAGATTTCTCATGTATTTCCTAATGAGGGCATGAAGCTCCTGACAATCTAGAAGCATTAATTCCCAGTGCAACATACATTTAGATAATTTATACAATTGTTGAATAACCTGAGAAAAACTTTCTGAAAGGTCCTTTATCTTTGCTCTAAAGCCATATAAAATCAGTACAAAGGTTTCTTCTTTTAAAATTTTTAAAAATTTTAAGATTTATTTATTTATTTATTTTGAGAGAGAGAGAGAGAGCATGCACATGCAGGGGGAGGAGCAAAGGGGGAAGGAAAGGACAGGGGAAAGAATCCCCAGCAGACTCTACACTGAGCAGGGAGTCCAACATGGGGCTTGATCTCACAACCCCGAGATCACTACTTGAGCCGAAACCAAGAGTCGGATGCTTAACCAAGCTACCCAGGTGCCCCAATTTAAAAAAATTTTATAAGGAATTTTTTCTAGCTTTATTAAGATGCGACTGACATATAACATTGTATAAATATAAGGTATATGACATAATGATTTGATATATGTATATATAACAAATAGATTACAATAAGGTTAACACAAGTATCGCCTTCATAGTTGTAATTTTTTTGTGTATGGTGAGAACTTTTAAAATCTATTCTCTTAGCAACTTTGAAATAGATGAGTTTTGTTAGTCACCATGCTGTACATTATATCCCCAGAACTTATTCGTCTTATAATTGGAAGTTTGTACCCTCTGACCATATTAACCTCATTCATCCCACCACCCATCTCTGACAACCACCAATTTGTTCTCTGTTATCAGGTCGGTTTTTTAGATTCCATATATAAATGAGATCATACAGTATTTGTCTTTCTCTGACTTATTTTATTTAGCATAGTGTGTTGAAGGTTCAGCCATGTTGTTGCAAATGGCAGGATTTTCTTTTTTTATGGCTGAATAATATTCCATTGTATATACAGTTGACCCTTGACCAAGATAGGTTTGAAATGTGCATGTCCATTTTTATGCAGATTTTTTTGGATAAATACAGTATGTTAAATGTATTTTCTCTTCCTTATGATTTTCTTAATATTTTCTTTTCTCTAGATTATTCTAAGAATTACAGTACCTAATACATATAACATACAAAATATGTGCTAATAAACTATGTTACCAGAAGACTTCTTGTGAACAGTAGGCTTTAGTAGTTAAGTTTTGGGGGGAGTCAAAAGTTACACACAGAAGAGGCTTTAGTGTTTTCTATGTATAATATCATGTCATCTGCAAATAGTGAGTTTTACTTTTCCCTTACCAATTTGGATGCCTTTTTCCCCCCTTTTTCTTTTTTTTAAAAGATTTTATTTATTTATTTGAGACAGAGAGAATGAGAGACAGAGAGGATGAGAGGGAGGAGGGTCAGAGGGAGAAGCAGACTCCCTGCCGAGCAGGGAGCCCGATGCGGGACTCGATCCCGGGACTCCAGGATCATGACCTGAGCTGAAGGCAGTCGCTTAACCAACTGAGCCACCCAGGCGCCCATTCCCCCCTTTCTCTTAATTGATTGCTGTGGCTAGGACTTCCAGTACTATTATGTTGAATAAAAGTGGTGAGAGTGGGCATGCTTGTCTCTTTTCTGATCTTAGAAGAAAAGCTCTAAATTTTTCACCATTGAGGATGATGTTAGCTGTGGGTTTGCCATATATGGCTTTTGTTATGTTGAGGTATGTTCCCTCTAAGCCCACTTTGTTGAGAGCTTTTATCATGAATGGATGTTGAATTTGTCAAATGCTTCTTCTGAATTTATTGAGATGATCATGTAATTTTTTCTAGGGTTTTGTCAGAGAGAGAGCACAAGAAGGGGGAGCTGCAGGCAGAGAAAGAAGCAGGATCCCCACTGAGTAAGGAGCCCAATGTGGGACTCAATCCGAGGACCCAGGATCATGACCTGAGCTGAAGGCAGATGCTTAACTGACTGAGCCACCCAGGCATCCTGATCATGTAATTTTTGTATCATTTTGTTAATGTGGTTTATCACATTGATTGATTTCCAGATATTGAGCCGTCCTTGCCTCCCCAGAATAAATCCCACTTGATTGTGGAGATGATCCTTTTAAGGTATTGTTGAATGTAGTTTGCTGGTATTTTGTTGAGGATTCTTACATCTACGTTCATCAGGGGTGTTGGCCTGTAGTTCTTGTGTTTTTTGTAGTGTCTTTGGGTTTGCAAACAGGGTAATGTTGGCCTCATAGACTGAATTTGGAATTTTGGAATTTGGAATTTTTTGGAATAGTTTTTTTTTTAAAGATTTTATTTATGTGTGTGTGTATTTTTTAAGTAAACTTTACACCCAATGTGGGCCTTGAACTTACAACCTCAAGATCAAGAGTTGCATGTTTTATTGACTGAACCAGCCAGGTGCCCCTATTTTTTGAAATAGTTTGAGACTAGGTATTAACTCTTCTTTAAATGTTTGGTAGAATTCACCCAGTGAAGCCATTTGGTCCTGGACGTGGGTTTTTTGATTACTGATTCAATTTCCTAGAAATCAGCATGTTCAGCTTCAGGGTTAGTCTTGATCCTTGGGTGATCTTCATCAAGACCTTCAGGCTTCAAGTCAAGTTGAGGTGTTTACTTGGTCCTTCCTACTTGGCCAGCTCTGAACTCCTCACTTTTCTTCTTCTAGCCCAGAGAATTTGCAAAAATTCTTTTCAGATTCTAAGGCTCCTAAATGAGATTTTATAGTTAGCCTTTCAGCCTCTCGGCACCTGATTTCAAATGAGCAATCACCTCAAGGGTAAAATCACACAAATATCAGGCTTCCCAATATGGATTTCCCAAGCCCTCTGTTATTTTGTCCCAACAAATCCTCACAGCTTTCATCACCTTCCCATGGTGACAAATATATATATACACGTGTGTGTACGTGTGTTTGTGTGTGTGATAAATCAGAGAGACAGACATAGGTATAGATGTTATTTCTGGAAAGTTCTGGTCATTGCAATGAAATGTTTACAGATGACATGATTTCCTCTTTGAAAATCTATGAATTTTTAGTTAGAAATTACTAAATCTACCAAAGAATTCAATCCTCAGTATACACAAGGGTTTGGTCAAATAGTCTTTTTTTTACACTCATGATAGAAAAGTAAACAGATACATAATTTTTTGTGTTATGCTTCAGTATCTATGAAAAATAAAAGTGCACATGTATGTGCAGCCACTTCACATCTATTCCTAAGAATAATGAAAGATATATGCATATAGTAGGGTTTTTATATTAACAAAAGTTCAAAAATAATCTAGATATCCTTGAATAAGGAGACATGCGACAGGATATATTTATACTACTTGTAAAAATATCTATAATGTTATTATATAAATGTCACTACCAAATCATAGGTATATTATACAGAAATATATATGTATATATACATACATAAAACATATTTCTGTACATGTATATTCGAATATAACCATATATACATATTATCTTCTTTGCCTTCTTTGTCTGTGTGTGTGTATGTGTGTGTCTCCAATTGTGTGTTTAACCAGTAGGGGAAAACAGGAAGAGCATCCTTGGAGAGACCAACAAATTCATATTTTATCTCATGTTATTGCCTCTGGCTGAAATGACCATCCCGTTTTCTCCCTGCATGTACATATTTGTACATGCAAACCTACACAAATGTGTACCCCACCCATTTATTAATAACCACAGGGAAAAAAACAAAAATACACATGCCAAACTATCAAGAGACAGGGGTAAGAAATTAGTGAATATCATATATTAAAAAAAAATTTAACTCATAGGATAATTTTTAATTTTTTTTTTAAGATTTTATTTATTTATTTGACAGAGAGAGACACAGCGAGAGAGGAAACACAAGCAGGGCAAGTGGGAGAGGGAGAAGCAGCCTTCCCACCGAGCAGGAGCCCGATGTGGGACTCGATCCCAGGACCCCGGGATCATGACCTGAGCCGAAGGCAGACGCTTAACGACTGAGCCACCCAGGCGCCCCTAATTTTTAAATTTTAATAGAAGAAAATATATTAATAAGGTGCCTTACATTGGTATACACTGCAGATGAGATATAGCATAATCTCACAATTGGATTTAGAATTAGAATTCTAAATTCTAAATTCTAAACTAGAATTTAGAATTGCATTTAGAAACACAAAGAATTTAATTGGAAAGTAACAGTGAGTTTTGTTTCATGTGGGTAAATTTGAACTGAATCTTAAAAGATGAGGACAATGAGAAGAGACAGGTTTAGGAATGTCCTCCCTGACGTGAAAGGAGAGGTGGACAGTGGCTAACACAGAGGCCAGAAAGCATCTGGCTTGTTCAGCTGAGGCCAGAGAGTGGCTCTGCAGTCTGGCAGCCTGGCCTTTCTTCAGACTGGAACGAAACAGAGCTTGAAGAAGGGTGGCAATGCACCCAACCCACTGACTTTTGGGGTGGTGTCAATGTCCTTTGGATCAACCAGAGGTTTCAAGGTGAAATGCTGTAAAATGTTGGTCAGTAATAAAAAGAGCTCCATGCGGGCCAGGCCTTCTCCAAGACAAGCTCTCTTTCCTAAAAACGACAAATAAATTCAATATTCATTTAATTCTGTTTCTGAGCTGGCACACAGGGAGGCTTCAATAAATATGGATTGAGAAAATAAATATATTAATAGACTACCGCTTCTTTTATCGACACTGAAATGTGGTTTCCTTCACTTCCTCAGTACATATTTTTGTGTGCATGAGTAGGGGCAAGGGCAACTTGCCCCAGGATGGGCCACTTTGGCATAAAGATTATTTTGAATTAAAAGCAACCAAAACCCAGCAGATTCAAGGAAACCTCCCTACCTCTCCTTCAACTGCCTGTATCAGGAAGAGAGCAGTTAACAAGATTCTTCTTTATCTATGAAACTTCTCGGCACAACAGGGCAACCTGTGTTTTTGAAACATTTCCTCTCACCTTCCTGCTAATGGTCTACCTCCCCTTTGAATCCCCAGACCCGTCCCCTCTCCTTAGCTCAGGATGTGGTAGAAGCCTATGTCGCCTGGCTTTGCAATTTCATATGTTTGTGGATTCCCCACACCTGTGAAACTAAATTTGATTTTCTCCTCTTAATCTGTCCCATGTCAATTTGATTTTTAGTCCAGCTGGGAAGGACCTTGAAAGGCAGAGAAAAATTCCTCTTCCTGGACAGCTGGCCTAGTTGGCAGTATGCTTTAACACGCTGGATACTGCTTGCCACACACAGGGCTACAGCTGGGAGAGCCTTGGGACATCTGATAGATAGCTGGCAGCAGGGAAGATTTCCTACCACGTCAGTCTCCTGGAGTCTGAGGAGTCTGATGGAGCAAGAATGGTGAGAGTCCTTTTTCTCTCTGTCTAAATTTAGATTAGCAGGAGAAAATACTTGTGGAACTAGTTCCTTATGTTTAGCAACTCTTGGTAAATTTGGTAGAGTACGTTTTTGGGGGAAAGAGATCAACCAGAGATGGTCTTTGTTTTCCTTTGTGTCTTTTTTTAAATCTTTTTAAGATTTTATTTATTTGTCAGATGGTGAGAGAGAGAACACAAGCAGAGGGAGCGGCAGGCAGGGGGAGAAGCAGACCCCAGCTGAGCAAGGAGCCCGACGTGGGACTCGATCCCAGGACCCTGGGATCATGACCTGAGCCAAAGGCAGACGCTTAACCGACTGAGCCACCCAGGCGTCCCTCCTTTGTGTCTTTTCCATCGTTTGTCATAAAAAGGAATTACCATCGTGCAGAAAGCAGGCATAGGCCCCATAAGCCTGCTATTTGAGTTAGTCCCACAGACTGGTGAGTTCATGGTTCTCATCAGACTGTCACCTGTTTAGATAAACTTTGCTGTAGGTTAAAGGCTGTTGCTAAGGGATAAGTTGGAAACCAAAGCTCCAAAATTGGTGGGCACGGGTGGAACACTTAAAAGCTATGAGAGCACTCACTGCCTCTAGAAAGCTCCTGTGATAAGGTGGTCACAGAACAGGTTAGATTGACATTTGTTAACCTGTCAACCTCAAGAAAACTTCTGTGCAGTGAGGTACACTGTGAAAAATCGCCAACATCTGCCTGTGGCACGTCCCTCTCAGGTGTTCATGTAGCTCCAAGAAACCCAAGGTTTAGCCAAAGGAGAACCGGATAAGGTTTTTCCTTTTGTCTTGTTCTATGTCCCAAGAGCTTGGCTTTGTGACCAGTGAGAATATTCTCTTTGGTCCACCATCTGGAGGATGCATTTACCAGGGTGCATCTTGGAGGCCAGTCAAAAAGACTGGGGATCTGAGTCTCTCTCTCTGCCCATACCAACTCTCAAGGGTGTTTGCCATGAGAAGTCCCAGCCCATAGGAACCTTTATATTCTCAACCTTTGTTTGTTAGTGCTGGAAAGTCCCATTATAGGAGCACATGCCCGGCGTCACAGATTATTGAGTCTGTGACTAGAGGCATCTCATGATTTCACTGGAGACCTGCAACGAAGATCTCAGCTTTCTTAGACTAATTATGGGAGTCAACTTTTGGATCACGAGGGCTGCATCTGTGCCCTCTCTCTGGATGCCTAAGGCATTAAAAGGCTTATTAGTTAGAGTTACTTGTAACAGATTCTCCTCATCAATGGCCTGATGATGTATCCTCTAAGTTGTCTAATGTTTGAAAAAAGAAGAAAAACTTTATTTAAAAAAAAGATTTTATTATTATTTGAAAGAGAGAGCAAGAGCTGTGTCAGGAGGGGCAGAGGGAGTGAGGGAGGGAGAAGCAGGCTCTCCGCCGAGCAGGGAGCCCGATGCGGGGCTCGATCCCAGGACCCTGAGATCATGACCTGAGCTGATGGCAGACGCTTAACCAACTGAGCCACCCAGGCGTCCCAAAGAAAAACATTCTTGTTAGAGAGCTCTCAGTTGTTCTAGCTTAATTACTAGCCTAAGGGACTCCCTTGACAAGATGAAAGAACAGAAATTAGAAATAAATGTGCACATCCAACATAAATTTCCCCTAAACTCCAGCCTCATCTGCTCATCTGCCTAGTTTAACTTCCCTTTCCCTTTAGGATTTACATAGAGCACTCCAGCCTCATCTCTAGGTTCAAAATATACAGCTTGCTCATGTAAATTCTGAACGCCAGAAAATGAATTTAACAAAAGTAGTAAGGCTCACTTTGTTCCTACCTTCCAGTGCTCTGTAATCAGGCTCTGCCAGCTTTGGGCATGGCACTTGGCTGGTGTATTCTAGGCCCACACCGCAAAAGAATTTGTGTCCCTTGGACAGCAGCAGACCTTTTAAATTATAAAGCCCTTTAAACCTCTACTTTCAAAGGATTCTACCATATTCAGAAATAAATTTAAAAGATTAATCACTAGTCACAACCCCCATTCAGAGAGGAAACATGACCAAAACTTCTCCCAGGCCCACCTATAAATGATCAGGGAAAGGCCAATATTCAGGGGCTAACAGAAGCCCAGATTAAATTATGTACCCAGATAGAAGGCTTTTGTTAAAATGCTTTATACAGACTTTACAAAGGCATGAATCTTTTGATCTCCATTTTAACTAAAAATCTCCCTGATATAAAGAAGCAAGTTTAGTTAAAAAGGTGGGCCAGTCCGTTGATATTCAGGCTGTAATCCAGTTCTTTGGGGGAACTGATTCTAAACAACTGTCTTTGCCTTCCAAAGCTCTGCCAAACCAGAAATCCAGCTCAAGAAACAAGTCAAAGCCCACCTCTCTTTACTAATCTCCAAACTTTGCCTATTCCTCTCAAAATGTTTATAGATACTATAAAAGATCAGGATTTGGAACAAAATTGTCCAGTAATTTTTTAAAAAAAGGTAAATTTTAAATAGCAATTACCCTGAAACTCTAGAAATAAAAATATTTTTTACCTTATTTCTCTGTCCCATGAAATTATAAATCTTTCCGTTTTTTTTTTTTTTAAGAGAGTCGGGGGAGGGCAGGAGCAAAGGGAGAGAGAGAGAGAGAGAATCTTAAGTAGGTTCCACTCCCAGTGCAGAGCCCAACCTCACGACTCTCAGATCATGACCTGAGCCAAAATTAAGAGCAGGACACCAACTGAACCACCCAGGTGCCCCCTGAAATATAAATCTAATGTCTTTGAACACAGCCCACAGTCACCCAAGACTGAAGAAAATAAAAGAGGGGGAGTGGTGTGGGAAGAGGCCTTTTCAAAGTACAAACTGCTTAAATCCCTCTTATGTCCAGACTTGGAAAAAACTTGGAGCTTTCTCTGTGCCTTTGGGATTTAAATTTTCTATCCTATCATCTCTAGGATATAAGAGCCACTCTTTTAGATACAAGCTTTAGAGGAAAGTTGTTCATTAAAAAAAGTAAAAGAGGGAGGTACTTGAGAATTGGGGCTATAATGTCCTCATCACAAATATTAGTAAAAACAAAAGCTATAAGAATATGTTTTATCTTGATTGTGTGTATGTGTCCCATGTTGCAAATGTGAGGTATTTTCTCTACTTCCAGCTGATATTGCCAAAATTAATTTGTAAAAGAGCTCCATTTAGTTGGAAGCAAGCACTCATAAGGATTGGGCATTCTAAAACTCAGAAAGATGGGCGCCCAGGTGGCTCAGTTGGTTAAGCATCTGCCTTTGGCTCAGGTCATGATCCCAGGGTCCTGGGATCTAGCCCTGAGTTGGGCTCCCTGCTCAGCAGGAGAATCTGCTTCTCCCCTTGCCTCTGCCCCTTACCACAGTCATGCTCTCTCTCTCTCTCAAATAAATAAATAAATAAATCTTTAAAAAAGGAAAAAAAAATTCTTAAATCTCAGAAAGGTAGAAACTAACCTAAATGTTTTTCAAGTTTATGTGATCAGGGAAGATACTCAGTATTAAAGCTAATTTAAGGTTGTTGGTTTAATTAAAATAGCCATATCTTTAGAGTTATCAGGATCAAATATAAAACTTGTAGTCTGCCTGTGTTTACTGGAAGTCAAATAAGTTCATGGTATCTCTTACAAACTTTTTCAGAAAAAAACAAAACAGAACTTGAAATGATGGCTGACTTTGTCTAATGCCTCATAAAATTTTGTGGGTAGACTAAACTAACTGTTCAGAACAAGTTAATTAAGTAAATGTAAATAATAATAAAGGTTTGCCTACACACCTTTTTATCTTATTTTTAAAAAGTTTTTATTTATTACTTTAGAGAGAGAGAGAGAGTGCATGAGTGGGGAGGGAGAGGGAGAAAGAATCTGAAGGAGACCCTGCACTAAGTTGGGAGCCCAACGAGGGCCTCTATCGCACGACTGTGAGATCAAGTGTAGGTAAACTTTTACTTTATTTTTTTTAAGATTTTATTTATTTATTTGACAGGGAGAGACAGCAAGAGAGGGAACACAAGCAGGGGGAGTGGGAGAGGGAGAAGCAGGCTTCTCGCGGAGCAGGGAGCCCGATGTGGGGCTCGATCCCAGAACCCCGGGATCATGACCTGAGCAGAAGCAGAGGCCTAATGACTGAGCCACCCAGGTGCCCCATAGGTAAACTTTTAAAGAGCTACCAAAATCTTCGGTAACCTGCATTTTTAAAGTTTTGCTAAGTTAAATGTTAAGCTAAATTCATTGAATATCTAGATCATTTCCAAATGAGATAAAATAATGAAACATTAAGTAGCAAATACAGGTTTCTCTCCTTTTGTCTTATTACAGAGAAACAAAAGATAAATTTGGGTCTGTTAGTAAACCTGGTTTGTGCCTTACTGAAAGACTGTACTGTGAAGAAACACGTATTTCTTTTTTTTTTTTAAAGATTTTACTTATTTATTCATAAGAGACAGAGAGAGAGAGGCAGAGGGAGAAGCAGGCTCCCAAGGAGCAGAGAGCCCGTTGTGGGACTCGATCCCAGGACCCTGGGATCATGACCTGAGCCGAAGGCAGACGCTTAACCAACTGAGCCACCTGCGCGCCCAAAACACGTATTTCTAAGTTGTACAGTCCAAAGAACACTGGTGTAATAGTTCACTGTAAAAAGTGAGATGCCTCTAGTCACAGACCTGCTAATCTGTGACACTGGGCAGGCACTCCTGGAGTGGGGCTTCCCAGCACCAACAAGAAACGAAGATCGACATGACAAAGGTTCCTGTGGGCTGGACCTCTCACGACAAGCAAGCTTGAGAGCTGGTGTGGCCAGACAGAGGGAAAGACTTGGAAGCCCATTCTGTCTGGCCACCAAGGTGGACCCTGGTAAGTGCATCCTCCAGATGGTGGAGACCAAAGAGAACATTCTCACCGGCCATAGAGCCAAAGTCTTAGCCCACAGAACAAGACAAAAGGAAAAATCGTATCTTGTATATGCACATTAAGAGCTTTACTTGAGCCTTGGGTCGCTTGGAACCATGCTAACACCTGAGGGCTGGGGCTGGGCCACAGGCGTGGGGATAATGTGTTGTGTTCAGGCGTACCTCACTGCGCACAGGGTTCCTTGAGGCTGGCAGGCGGCCTGCCAATCAACCTGTTCTGTGACCAACCTGTCCTATCACAGGAGCCTTCTGGAGGCGGTGAGTGCTCTAAGTTTTTATTTTTTAAGCAATCTCCACACCCAACATGGGGCTCAAACCCACAACCCCGAGACCCAGAGTCACATGTTCCACTGACCGAGCCAGGCAGGTGCCCTAGCTCTACCAGCTTTTAAGTGTTCTACTGGTGTCTGCCAATCTCACCATTTTGGCTTCCAAGATGTCCTTAAGCAACAGCCTTTCCCTCATATGCCCACTAACCTATAGCAAAGTTCATATGACAAATGACATAAAAGACACAAAGGCAAACAAAGACCATCTCTGGGAGGAAAAAGATCAGCAGCAAAGAGGACCCTACCGAATTTACCAAGGGGCACTAAGCCCAAGGAACTAGTTCCACAAGTATTTTCTCCTGCTAATCTAAATTTAGAGAGAAAAAAAGACTGTCGCCATTCCCGCTCCATCAGACTCTGCAGACAGAGATTCTGAGAGACTGACCGTAGGAAATCTTACCGTGTGTCAGCTGTCAGATGTCCTACAGATCTCTCAGCTACAGCAGCTTGTGGGGCGAGCAGGGTCCAGCGAGCTCAGGTGTCCAGCGGACACACCTTGCCAGGGAGCAAGAATTTCCTGTCCCTTTCAAGGTCCTTGTAGCTGGACTAAGACTCAAATTGACACCAGACAAATTAGCAGAAGGAAATCCCAATTTAATTTCCTATGTACAGAGAATCCACACAATCTAGAAATTCCAAAGACAGTCAGGCAAAATGAGGTATATATGTCATCCTGAATTAAGGGGGTAGGAAAAAAAGATTACACATTAGCCACAAGCCTACTAACTAATCACTGATCCCCCAAAGGACTGGCAATTTCAAATGTTATCTAGATTCCAGTCATTCTGGAATGACTTGTTGAGTATGCCACCTGTTTCTTCCCAGGACCCTGACAAATTGAAGGGAGATTCAACATTCCCTTACCCTCTATCTATCTACTCTACCTTCTGCCCCTTCTTAGGAATCTCGTGGTGGGTTCTGGGGCCAATCTTGGCAAGGGAAGCCTCCGGTCAAATGAGAAATAACCTGGGCTTCGGGAATGATGCCTCTAGCCTCATACAAATGACAATTTGTTCAGCCCCGAGTAGCCTCCGTGCAAAGCCCTTCCTCATCTCACTGACCCCTGATGCAGAAATAACAATGAAGCTTGCTTGCCTGCTGAGAAGGCCATGAAGTAGTCACTCTTCTTAAAGTTGCCACTTTCATCCAGGAAGTGGCCGGGATCAAAGCGATCTGGGTTGGGAAACTCTTTGTCATCTTGCAGGACAGAAGTCAGAGATGTTAATACGACTGTGCCCTGATATGAAGAAACACAGATAAACTGGATTATAATGAAAGTCATGGAGCTTGAAATCCTTTTGTTTTATAGATGAGGAGACATGCACAAAAAGAGCTTATTTACTCCATTTCACAGAAAAAACGAATGACTGACCCTAACAGGTTTTAAATCCTATAATGCCAGTCCAAGGCACTGCTAACTGACTTCCAAGTCATTCTCTTGAGTTGGTAGCCTGATACTAGCACTTGCTTTTCAGAAAACTGAGGCAACTCCCTGGAGTGTATTGTTCTTGACAATAAACTGCAGTATTGTCTAAAAGAGCTGATGCCACTGAAAATCCAGCTCATTTCCTTTGGAACCGAGTATGAGGTCTTCAAAGTTCTACTTGAGCGGCCATATTCTTGAAAACCCTTCACCTTCCCATCAGGATGACAAACTGAGGGGCGCCTGGCTGGCTCAATCAATAGAGCATGTGAGTTTTGGTCTCGCGGTCGTGGGTCCACATTGGGTGTAGAGCTACTTAAAAAAGATTTTTTTTTTTTAAAAGATGAGAACAGGATAAGTATCCCCTGCTCCTGTTGTGCTCTTTCAATTGAATTGTTGAGCATTCTTGTGGAAATGAGAGAACATTTCCGGTTTCTAGTAGGGTTTTCTGAAACTCACGGATACAGTGTAACATAATGACTTGGAGTTTAGTTTTCAAAATCAGTAGAATCTTTCTATTAAATTATGCCCCGTGATGATAGATTATTAGTTTAACATTTCCGTGACTCATTTTCATTACTAGCAAAATGGAAAGGATACACCTGCACTAGTTCATTGCAGATGTAAAATGAGATAACATACGAAATACTTTGCACGAGGATTACCACATGCTAGGGCCACCTGGGTAGCTCAGTCAGTTGGTGATCTGATCTGGATTTCGGCCCGTAATCTCAGCGTCCTGAGATCAAGCCCTGCACTGAGCTCCATGCTCAGCGTGGAGTCGGCTTGAGATTCTCTTTCCCTCTCCCTCTGCTTGCATGCTCTAAATAAATAAATAAATAAATTCCTTTAAAACATCCTCTATCCCACTCTGCCCCATCTCCCCTGCTCACATGCTCTCTCTCTAAAAAAACAAAAACAAAAATAATTACCACACAAAAATGCTCAATAAAGAGAAATTTGTTATGTTATGATAATGACTTCATTCACAATCTTGGGATCTTAATAAAGGTCATATATTTATTACATAGCAGAGAAAAAATTCAAATCTAAATCTGTCTGGATGCTTTCTAGTGTACTGTCTGGCCTTTCCAAATACATGATGTAGTTCTCACTGCAGAAAGGTCACTTTCCTCCTAGAGTTCAGGGAGGTAAAGGCCAAGCAAAGTGGGGCGCCTGGGTGGCTCAGTCGTTAAGTGTCTGCCTTCGGCTCAGGTCATGATTCCAGGTCCTGGGATCGAGCCCCGCATTGGGCTCCCTGCTCAGCGGGAAGCCTGCTTCTCCCTCTCCCACTCCCCCTGCTTGTATTCCCTCTCTCGCTGTGTCTCTCTCTGTCAAATAAATAAATAAAATCTTTAAAAAAAAAAGGCCAAGCAAAGTGCTACTCTTTTTGAGCTAAGAAGACAGAGGTTAAAAAAAAAAAAAATTGGCATCTAGAATTCATGAGGAAGGATACAGGACAGGAGGATTCTATAAATAGAGAGGATCTCAAAAGTATACAAAACTATTCTCTAGAAGTCCATGGTTAGGGGTTGGGTGACAAATATACAGGAGGAAACTCAATGAAGCCTATCAGAGTATGACTGCTTGAGAACTGAAGGTGGATATCAGTGATAGAGGATTTGAGGTTCCAACCCAGCTAGGGTGGAGAGAACTTTCTTGGCACCTCAGATTTTTTTGTGGTGACCCCCAAACTTGTAAATTGTTGGATTAAGGAACCCACACTGGACTAAGGGCCATGCACAAAGACTAAATTCAAAAGTGAAACTAATTCACAATGAAAGAACTATAGGAAGTCCAATAGACTGAAAAGCATCTGTCAGTAATTTAGCTGCCTGCCAAAATAAAAGTCAATGCCCTTTAGGGGAAGTCAGCATCATCAGACTCCCCACAAGGCATCATTCAAAATGTTGAGCATATAATAAATTATTTTTTTAAGTAGGCTCCACCCCCAGTGTGGGTTTGACTCACAACCCTAAAATCAAGAATCGTACACTCCACCGACTAAGCAAGCTAGGCAGCCCAAGCATGTGATTAATTTTTAAACATGTGAAAAAGCAGACCCCATCGTATCCTAAATGTTAGAATTATCACATAAGAACTTCAAAGCATATGAGTGTATGAGTCTGTGTATTTAAGAGATACAGAACAGTCCATCCAAAAGCAACAGAGTACACATTCTTCTCAAGCACATGTGGACTATTTCTTAGGATAGATAATACATTAGGGCACAAAATAAGCATTAAAAAATTACAGAAGATTAAAATCATATGAATCTGGGGCACCTTGCTGGATCAGTTGGTAGAGCATGTGACTTTTGATCTTGGGGTTATGAGTTCAAGCCCCACTGTGGGTGTCAAAATTACTTAAAAATAAAATCTTAAAAAAAAATCGTATCAAGCATATTTCCTGACCACAGTGGTATGAATCTAGAAAAACAAAACTGAAAAATTCACAGGTATGTGGAGTTTAAAAAACATGCTACTGAACAACCAATGAGTCAAAGAAGAAATCAAAAAAGAAAAAATACCTTGAGAGAAATGAAAATGGAAACACAACATACCAACACTTATGGGATGCAGGAAAAGCAGTTCAAAGAGGAAAGTTAAAACAATAAATGCCTAGATGAAGAAATAAAAATCTCAAACAACCTAACTTTATGCCTCAAGGAACTAGAAAAAGAACAAATGAAGCCCAAAGTTAGGACAAGTAGGGAAATAACAAATACCAGGGTCAAAATAAATGAAACAGAAACTAAAAAGACAATAGAAAAGGTCAATGACGGGCGCCTGGGTGGCTCAGTCATTAAGCGTCTGCCTTCGGCTCAGGTTATGATCCCAGGGTCCTGGGATCGAGCCCCACATAGGGCTCCCTGCTCCGCGGGAAGCCTGCTTCTCCCTCTCCCACTCCCCCTGCTTGTGTTCCCTCTCTCGCTGTGTCTCTCTCTGTCAAATAAATAAATAAAATCTTAAAAAAAAAAAAAAAAGAAAAGGTCAATGAAGAGCTTGTTTGTTGAAAGATAAGCAAAATTGACAAACCTTTAGCTAGACTCACCAAGAAAAAAGACAGGACTCAAAATCAGAAATGAAGTAGACATTATAAGTGATACCACAGAAATATAAGAGATCACCAGAGACCATAATGGACAATTATACACCAAAAAATTGGACAACCTATGGGGCCCCTGGGTGGCTCAGTTGGTTAAGCATTTGCCTTTGGCTCAGGTCATGATCTAGCCCTGCATCGGGCTCCCTGCTCATTGGGGAGCCTGCTTCTCCCTCTCACTCTCCCCCGTGCACAGGCACTCTCTCAAAAATATAAAATCTTTAAATAAAATTGGACAACCTAGAAGATACGGTTAAATTCCTAAAAACATACAACATACCAAGACTCAATCATGAAGAAATAGAAAATCCGAACAGACCAATTACTAAGATTGAATCACTAATTAAAACTCTCTCAGGGCGCCTGGATGGCTTAGTCAGTTAAGCACCTGCCTTCAGCTCAGGTAATGATCCCAGAGTCCTGGGATTGAGCCCCACATCGGGCTCCCTGCTCAGCAGGGAGTCTGCTTATCCCTCTCCCTCTGCCTCTCCCCCTCCTGGTTGCTCTCTCTCTCTCAAGTATATAAATAAAAATCTTATAAATAAATAAATAAAAATAAATAAATAAATAAATAAACCTCTCTCAAAAGACAACATTCCTGGACATATGGCTTCCCTGGTGAATTCTATCAAACATTTAAAGAGGAACAAATACCAATCCTTCTCAACTATAAAATAGAAGAGGAGGGAACACTTCCAAATTCATTTTGTGAGGGCAGCATAATCCTAATACTAAAACCACACAAGGACACCACAAGAAAAGAAACTTAAAGGCCAATATCTCTGATGGACAAAGGTGTACATATTTGCAATAAAATCTTCGCAAACTGAATTGAACAGTACAATAAAAGGATCATATACCATAATCAAGTGGGATTTATTCCAGGGATGCAAGGATGGTTCCACATCCCCAAATCATTGTGATAGACATTAAAAAATGAAGGCTAAAAATCATATGATCATCTCAGTAGATGCAGAAAAAAGCATCTGGCAAAATTCAACATCATTTATGATAAAAATGCTCAACAAAGTAGATATAGAGGGAATGTACCTTGACATAATAAAGGCCATATATGATAAGTCCACAGCTAACATCATCCTCAGTGGGGAAAAGCTTCAGCTTTTCCCGTAGGATCAGGAACAAAAGAAGGATGTCCACTCTCACCACTTTTATTCTACATGGTATTAGAAGTCCTACTCCAAGCATTTGGCAAGAAAAAGAAATAAAAGGTACTCAAATAGGAAAGGCAGCAGAATTGTCACTATTTGAAGATGACATAATATTGTAGATTTTTAAAATCCCTAAAGACTCCACCCAAATTGTTAGAATAAATGAATTCAGGATAAAAATGAATATACAAAAATCTGTTGCGTTTCTACACATTAATTATAAACTATAAAAGAAATTAAGAAAACCATCCCATTCACACTGGTATAAAAAATTCGAGTTAAAAGATCAGTACACTGGAAACTGTGACACTGATAAAAGAAATGGAAGAAGACACAGAATAAATGGAAAGATATTTTGTGCCCACAGTTTGAGAAAATTAATATTGTTAAAATGTCTATACCATCCAAAGCCATCTACAGATTCAATGCAATCCCTATCAAGATTCCTATGGCATTTTCACAGAAATGAAACAAACTATCCTAAAATTTCTGTAGAATGACAAAAGATCCTAAATAGCCAAAGCAATCTTGAGAAAAAACAAAGCTGGAGTCATCACACTTCCCGATTTCAAGCTGTATTACAAAGCTACAGTCATTAAAACAGCATGATGTTGGTATAAAAACAGACACATATAATGAAACAGAGTAGAGAGCCCAGGAATAAACCCATGCATAGATGGCCAATTAATTTCTAACAAAGGCACCAAGATACACAATCAAGAAAAGACAGTCTCTTCAATAAAGGGTGTTGGAAAAACTAGACCCTATCTTACAACAGCCACAAAAATGAACTCAAAATGAATTAAATAATTGAACATAAGAACTAAAACCAGAAATCCCAGAAGAAAACACAGGCAGTAAGCAGTCTTGTCAATGAATACTATGAAGAAAATCCTGTGGGAGTCTAAGCACTATGATTTATAAAATTGTATCAACAAAGTAAAAGGAAAGGTGCATGCGGTCAGAGGGTAAGATGCCTGGGCTATGAATGTGCCATATCTGTAGATGGTTAGGTAATCTATAATCCTACTGTTGTGATGCTTGATAACCTAAGATTCTTAAGGAGGGGGTACCTAGATGGCTTAGTCAGGTAAGCCTCCAACTCTTGATTTGGGCTCAGGTCATGATCTCAGGGTCATGAGATGGAGACCCTGGATGGGCTTGGGCTAGGCATGGAGCCTGCTTGAGATTCTCTATCCTTCTTCCTCGGCCCCTCCCCGCCCCACCCCCACACCCCCGCTTTCTCTCTCTGTCTCTCAAAACAAAAAATATATAAATACAAATAAAAGTAAAAACAAAATTCTTAAGGAGTAGTAGAGATGAAATATCTCTCACCTTGGGAATAATGTATTCTCTGAACTTAATATCCTGAGTCACTGCATGTGGGAGACCGTTGGGGACGAGGTCGATGTATCTCTGGATCTCGTGAACCACAGCATCCGTGTAGGGCATACGGCTCCTGTCCTGCATGCAGGGGCTCCGATGTCTGCCAACCACACGGTGAATCTCTTCCTGGACTTTAGCTGGCAGGACAGGAATCAGAATTTATGTGAAATGGAAAGGTCTGACCTTTTTTGTTGTTGTTGTTGAAAGACTTTATTTATTTTAAAGCGAGAGAGTCGGAAGAGGGGGCAGAGGGAGGAGAAAAGTACCCCAAGCTGACTCCGAATTGAGTGCGGAGCCCGGCGGGAGACCCAGTCTCATGACCCCGAGATTATGACAAGAGCAGAAACCAAGAGTTGGACGCTTAACTGACCGAGTCACCCAGGTGTCCCTTGATTTGATCTTAATCATGGTTCCATTGTGGAAGGAGACTGGGAGAGGGGGAAATCATATATAACTACTACCACAGGGAAAGAAAAAAAAAAGAAATTTGTTTCCTAGTCAAATTGGTATCTCATTAGAGACTTAAATATGTGTACATATAAAACATAATTGTACCATGAAATTCAACTCTGATTCTCTATTTTGAGTATTTTGTTTGATAAACCCAGGGATCTGGGGTCTTGAAAGCTCACTACAGACCATGCTGTTTGACCACTTTGTGTATGCCAGTTTCTGTTTTAAATATGTAAGTTCTGGGTGCCTGGGTGGCTCAGTCTGGTAAGTGTCTGCCTTGGACTCAGGTGATGATTCCGGAGTCTGGGGACTGAACCCCACATCAGGCTCCCAGCCACCCAGGTCCCATAAATAAAATATTTTTTAAAAATGTTAAGTTGCAGGGGCGCCTGGGTGGCTCAGTTGGTTAAGTGACTGCCTTCGGCTCAGGTCATGATCCTGGAGTCCCGGGATCGAGTCCCGCATCGGGCTCCCTGCTCGGCAGGGAGTCTGCTTCTCCCTCTGACCCTCCTCCCTCTCATGTGCTCTCTCTTTCTCTCATTCTCTCTCTCAAATAAATAAATAAAATCTTTAAAAAAATAAAAAATTAAAAAATTAAAAAAATAAAAATGTTAAGTTGCAGGGGCACCTGGGTGGCTCAGTCGGTTAAGCGTCTGCCTTCAACTCAGGTCATGATCCCAGGGTCCTGGGATCGAGCCCCGCATAGGGCTCCCTGCTCGGCGGGAAGCCTGCTTCTCCCTCTCCCACTCCCCCTGCTTGTGTTCCCTCTCGCTGTGTCTCTCTCTGTCAAATAAATAAATAAAATCTTTAAAAGAAAAATGTTAAGTTCCAAGAGGGTAAGAACTACCCAGTGCAATAAATGCTTAATAAATAGAACAACTGAATAAAATGTTTGACTCAGCACATAGGACCGAGAAGTTAACATTTATTTAGAATGCAAAACATGACAGGCATGCTGTACAATGTATTTCATTACTTTATAATTCCTCAAAATAGTTCTATGTGTTGGGTATTATTTTATGTGTCTTAAAAATGAGGAAACAAGTCCATAAAAGTAAATATCTTTCTTAAGGACACCCAGGTGTTATGTGGTCCTTCTTACTCCCAAACCCGCAATCTTAGCAACTGAATAAGATCACTGAAAATAATTTGTGTTAGCGAATTATATTCATCCTTTATTTGCAAAATGTATCATGTAAATAATATGCAGTTTTGGTAGAACTATTCATTAGTTAAAACAAACATTTATTAACTTTCTCCTATGAGGGAAAGATTCTGTGAATGTTAGGAAGTATCATCTCTCCTAAACAGATGACGGACCAAGTAAGATATGCAGAGAGGTAGTCATGAGTCTGAGGTCACACAGCTACTTACTAGTAAAGTCAGAATCTGAAGCCACTGTAGTTTGTCCACTATAGCCAGGGCCATGTTGCTACTTTGGTCAAATGGTGTTGATCTACTAGCTGAAGAATGTGTCTTTGTTAAGAGAGCATGTGATTAACTCTGTGGTTTGACAGCTGTCAGGAAGACTTAGGAATTTTAAAGAAGTTTTAAACTTCACCTTTTCAGGCTGAGAAGCTGGATTTTTATCTAGAAGAGAGTGATTATGTAAAGTGGTTAGGAACTGACTTATAAAGTCAGAATGTGTAGAGAATGGCCCAGTAAGGAATGAAAATGGGAAGAAAGAAAAGGAAAATATAAGTGGATATGATGCAAGAAAAAATGAACATGGAAGCAATGGGGAACCAAGACACAAAAAGGACTTTTGCCATGTACACAAGATTTACGGGTCTGGAGAAAAATGTCATATGGTGTTTGTGGTCATAATCAACATAGGTCTAATAAGAGGGAAGTTATTTGGCTGAAAGAGTCTGTGTCACGTGAAGGAAACACAGTGCCATTAGATCCCACAATGTGTGAGAGGAAAGGAATTTTGAAGCTGTGCTTCTAGATCCCACCATTTGGAAAGCACTTCTTACTTAGACTGGGAGGGCAGGAGGACCTTAAACAAAGAATAATCTAGTGCTGACATCATGGAGATAAGCTTCCTGAGATTTAATTGTATTAAAAGTGTTTCTATGTACCAAAGCACAGAACATGACCCAGTAGTGAAGGGAATATCCTCTTGGATGAGCACTCAAGAAAAAAAGAGGAGGAAAAGTGGAAAGGTTGCATTTGCAAGAGAAATTATATTTGTGAGGAAGAATTTATATGCCCAAATGGGTATATTAGAAAAGAATGTATTTGTATGTAACTCTTTTTATTTAGGGACTGAGACTCTTTGATAAAGAAAGACTGTCATTTTTGTTGAGTCAATCCTTACACTGCAAATGCATTTCAGCAGAAATCTCCTCTGACAAAAATATATTTATCTGGACATGGAAGACATATCAAGTGATATCCTTTGAGAGAAAGCAGAAGGCCAATTCTTCTAGATCCTAAGACAACTGCTTATTATTGCATCTGTCCCAACGCAAATCAGGGACATTCCACCATAGCAGGGGAAACAGTGAGCTCTGCCCTTCAAATCTCTGCTGCTGTTTAAATATTTCAGTATATTTTTGTACTATAAACTAATTTGTATTTAATTTATCCAATGATGGGAAGATGTATGAATGAAGGAAATTTTTTCTGTGCACTGTCTGGGCAGGTGAAGAGTGGGATAGTTGTCAGTGTCACCTGCCAATTTCTACCTGGAATTGCACCCTGCCCAACACCTGTGACCATACCTGTGATCTCCGGGTACTTCAGCAGCATGAGGAATCCATATCTCAGGGTGGTGCTCGTTGTCTCTGTTCCTGCACCAAACATATCCCATATGCTAACGATCAAGTTGTCCATGGTAAATTCAGTCTGTTTATTGTGTTTTTCCTAGAAATGATGTGCTACAATTACTTGATAAATAAAAGAGCCTCAGAGGTAACTTAACTCAATATGACATTGTTATTTGGTATGAGCGCTACAGCTGAAGGTCAAGTTAGATAGTTGTTAGGGTTCTGTCCAACAGTTAAAATATAATCAGAGTTATAAAGTTCCAACAGGTCCTTTCTGATTCTTCACTTTCTCATTCCCCTCGAGTCCATCAGTTGCTCTACCATTTCTTTGAAACATAATTTTTATCAAGTCCTCACTGCTATTCACTGTCAATTCCAGCATCTACTGTCTATTTTATAATGTCTAATTTTCTCATTCAAGCCTCCAGAACCACCCACACACACACAAAATGCATCACTATTCCCACTCATCAGTCACTACACCCACGACAGTTCCTCCATTACAATCAAGAGTACCTCTCAGAAATTCCACCCTCTTGATCACTTGCACTTCTCATTCCCTGGGCCTACTTTGTTGTCTCTTCATCTAAGCTACAGTTTCTTCAAAATCTACCTCATCTGTGAAGATTTCCTAGTGCCTTTGCAAAGGTTAGCCTTTGTAGATTCCTGTCTGTTCCTGTGTCCCCTCATTTTTTACATCTTCCCGTTGCTGAACTTTTTTGATGAAGGATTATATGCTGTGTATCATTAACCTTGAATGTGTATGAGTGTATATTACAATCTGCCCCCAAATAAAGAACCAGCTTTATTTAACACAATAAATGTAAAACCCACAAAGTCATTTTCAGTGAGAATTTAGAAATATCTCAAGATACCCAATATGGTTTGCATAAACAAGAGGTTAGACAAGCAATTAATACATATTTCGGAAGGACCATTTGTTTTAATATCCCAGTTTCACTGGGAAGAACAAAGCTAATCCATGAATCACACCACCCACAAAGATAAAGGGTCACATTATACCTTTTCTATTTTGATCAGGAAGTAGTCAATAAAGTCCCGAGGGTTATTGAAGTCCAGGGATTCTTGGTGTTCTTGTATTTTTTCCATAATAAACTCAAATTGTTTAGCAATATTTTTAAATAACACGTGATGGCTTCCTGGAAGGTAATGTATTAAAAGAGGGAAAGCATTGTAGAGCTGAAAGAGGAAAGAATCATTCATTAATTCACTCAGCAAAGTTTTACGGGCCCATGTTATGTATCAGACACTTAGTTATATTCTGAGTAGATAAAGGTGAGTAAGACATGCTTCGTGCACTAGAACACACTTGGAATTTGAAGGGAGGGAACTGACAAGATGTCTGGAGTTACAGGATGCACAAGTCACAAAGTAATTTCAAAACCATTTAAATTTATTTCCTAGCCATAACTCTATGAAGGAATCCAGGAGCATACCATCTTTTCCCAAAGGAGAATATTGAGGTTCAGAAAGGTCAGTCAACCATTGTAAGACATCAGTCTAGTAATAGAGCTAGAACGTAGTGTTCATCCCAGTTTACCTACACATTTTTCTATGGAGTCACCTAAAAAGTTTTTTTGTAATGAAGAAACTACATCAGAAAAATTAAAGAAATGCCCACATTACTTACCTTATTTAGGGATTTTATACCCTCAGGAATATGCACATTGCCCTTTTACATCTGCCCAAGGCCAGTCCTAGAGTTTACTGACTCTACTTTAGACAGCACCTCATGACTTAATGCCCTTGGTAGGCAATGACGCAATTTTCAGGCCAGTAGTTTGTATCAAACTACAGAGAGAACAGAGAAATCTGGACTCTAGGGCTTGCTCACTCCTTGTCTTGGCTAGGATTTGTCTTTGGAAAATATGCTTAATATCTCTGGGTGATAGTTTCCTGTTCCAAAAAATGAGTAAACTCCTTGTTTACTCATTTTCAAATATCCAAATGGAACTCCATTTGGAGTCCATGGAGTCCATGATGGAACACATCATGACCTTATGGTCCACAGAAAACATAGGTTTTCTGACAGCATCCTATATTAAGAAATACATTTTACATCATCACCCTCTTCATCTATGGATATAAAATGGTTTCTCAAAAAAACACCTTCCTATCATTGATGCACTCTACCACATTTCTCTATTACTGTATTTCATGGTTTTTAAAATAAGCTTTTAAAGATTTATTATAGAGAGAGAGAGAGAGAGCGAGTGAGCACAGTGGGGAGGGGAAGAGGGAGAGGGTGAGAGAGAATCTCAAGCAGATTCCCTGCTGAGCAGGGACCCTGATGAGGGGCTCGATTCCATGCCCCTGAGATCATGACCTGAGCCGAAATCACCAGTCGTATGAGTGGTATATGAGCCATCCAGGCACCCCACTATATTTCATGTTTTAAACTTCATTTCAATACATTAAATTGATTTGATAACTCACTAATTGGTTGCAAATGATAGTTTGTTAAACATAACTGTAGCCACTTGGAAACAGGACAAAGGGATGAGGTAAGCATGAGCAATAGGTTAGTTAGAAAATTATTTCCCATTTAAGGGAAACTTGACCTTACCTGTATCCAGGAGGTGCTTAAAATTAGGAAGTTTTCCTGAAAATATTCTATCAAGGTTAAGAATGTTTTATCATCATACTCAAAACGATTCTGGAAAATAATGGAGCAGATGATATTGCAGGGAGCACAGCCCAGAAGGAACGCAGGATCACAGGGAGATGCTAAAACAAAGAAGTTAAAAGTTAGAGCACAATTTTCATATAAATCTTAAGCTGACTGTTTAAAATGATTGAGAAGGGTTGACTTCTGGGAGTCTTTTAAGTATAGGAAATCCCTGGGCATGTCATCATCACTGTAAAGTCAACATGCCTATAATTTATTGTTTCCCCAAATGAAGCTATCTAATCCAGTCCATTTATTAATTTTCCCCACATATCCTATTTACTTTATTCTCCAAATAAGAGCCACAAGATAATTCACAAGAAGGAGGTCACATAAAAATATCTTGAAAGGTGTAAAGTTTAGCTCTCAGTGTGAATATTTCTTCACAATGTCCGTAGGAAGCTGAACAACCTAATAAAAATTTCAGGAGACTGGAGAGACTCGAAACCATTATTTTAGAAAACGTAATTGAAAAGTTGGGTGTGCTTTTCTTGTAGAAGAGAACGATAATGAGAGCAATTGGAGTTCCATTTGGATATTTGAAAAAATATATTTAGTAATGGAACCAGGCTTCCTATATATAATATAAAGCATGGCTCCATGTTTTGATGTTCGGTTGCAGACAACTTTTGAACCTCACCTTTTCTTCTTCAGTTCACATCTGGGCAAGCTGATAAAAAAGCTCAAGTGCTCCTTCCTTTGGAAGCAGGACATTTAAACTATACAAGCATTGACTTGCACACAGGAACTCGTTCTCTACCCTATCCCTTAGCCACCATAAACACATCAAGCCAGTACCTTTCCCTGATCTCTCAAACTGGGATTTTGTTTTTGTTTGTTGTATATATTTTTTAAGATTTTTAAAATTTATTTTTTAATTTTTATTTATTTGACAGAGACAGAGCAAGAGAGGAAACACAAGCAGGGGGAGAGGGAGAGGGAGAATTAATGTGGGACTTAATCCCAGGACCCTGGCCTCATGACCTGAGCCGAAGGCAGACTCTTAATGACTGAGCCACCCAGGCGCCCCTGTTTTTTTTTTTTTTAAGATTTTATTTGTTTGAGAGAGGGAGAGAGGAGCAGGGTGAGGGGCAGAGAGAGAAGTACAAGCAGACTCCTCGCTGAGCAGGGAGCTCGACACAGGGCTCCATCCCAGGACCCTGGGATCATGACCTGAGCCGAAGGCAGAAGCTTAACCAATTGAGCCACTCAGGTACACTCAAGGTGTTTCTTAATCTGCTTAGGAACCAGTGCCCCACCCCCACCCTCCACAGAAAGCCTCATTTTGTGAGTCACAGACTTTTTACATCCAAATGGAGTGTGTGTGGTACGAATACTCTCAACATCGAAACCAGTTGGGGTGGGAGGTACATCTTGTCTCTGTCACCTGACTGTTAAATCACTATAACTCCAAAAGGAAAAAAAAAAAATTAGCGGGGATCAAAAAGTAGAAGTTATAAGGAAAAATGTTCTGCTCAACATGTAAAAGAACCTTTCAATAGTCAGAATTACCCAGTGGTGAAATGGGTTACCCAAGAGTCTGGGGTCCCATAGCTTGGTGGGATTAGGCAGAATCTGGGTGAGAGTAGGTCAGGAGCATCCAAATAATGGATACTGTAGTAGTCTGTTAATAATTTTTTAAAAAGATTTTATTTATTTATATGACAGAGACACAGCAAGAGAGGGAACACAAGCAGGGGGAGTGGGAGAGGAAGAAGTAGGCACCCTGCTGAGCAGAGAGCCCTATGTGGGACTCCATCCCAGGACACTGGGATCATGACCTGAGCTGAAGGCAGATGCTTAATGAATGAGCCACCCAGGTGCCCCAATAATGTTCTTGCTAAACAAAAATTAAACATGTGAAAGTATTTAATATATTAAATTGAAAGTTTACAAAACCATATACATTTGTATCCCTTCTTCTGCCAGGTCTCCCACCCATTCCTCTGTAATAATATACATCAAAAGTCCAAATGATATTCATTGACACTCTACTGTCACAACTTATTCCAAGGAAGAAACAAGAATCATGCAAATATTTGTAATAATTACATTTTTTATATTAATAGCAGCAAAAGAAAAAAGAGGTGAGGACAAGCTGTCTGGACAATACATAACATGGGTTAAAAAACACAATGGCAGGGGCGGCTGGGTGGCTCAGTCAGTTACGCGTCTGACTCTTGGTTTCAGCTCAGGTCATGGTCTCAGGGTCGTGAGATCAAGCCCTGCATCAGCCTCCATGTTGAGTGTGGAGTCTGCTTAAGATTCTTTCTCTCTCTCCCTTTGCCTCTCCCCACCACTCTCTCTCTCTAAAATATATATATGTGTATATGTATATATATGAAACACAATGGAAATTCACCATATATAAAATAGCATTATTTAGTTGTAAAATATTTCAATATCGAGGTTCAAAAAACCACATATATCTGATGATCCTGATCTTACTCCTTTCCTGCCAAGTCTCCTGCCCACCCCTTCTCTTCCACCTCCCCTCCCAGTCCCGCACGTGCATACACAGAGCCAACTCGTGCTACTGAAGCTCCCTCCATTCATAACCATACTCCTCCAGGTGAGCCATAATGCAGCCCTAAGCACTGAGAAGGGTTTGCTGTGAATCCTACCACTGAAGCACCAGTGCTCCCCCCAACCCCCAGTTTTACTAAGATAAGATTGACAGCACTGTGTAAGTTTAAAGTGCCCAGCATAATGACTTCACACACATTTATACTGAAATGTTTGTGATGTTCTCAAGAAGTTACTAGGGACATTACTTCATTTTTCAAGGTATTACGGCCAAAACTACTAGTTCATTACCAAAATCCACGTTCTCCCCATTTTCCTCTGCACGCAGATAACCACATTTCCCAGTGCCCCTTAGAGTTGGTGTGGCCCTGAGACGGAGTTAGAGCCCATGGAATATGAAAGAAGTTTGGTGTGCCATTGACATACCTGGCTTACTGAAAACACAATTTGCTCTTTTCTTTGTTCTTTGCTCCTTCTGCTACCATGCAAAAAGATGAATTACGAGTGACCCAGGAAGCCACGTGTTGAAGAAAGACATCAGGGTTCCTATCAACCTAGAGCCTGAGAAGGCTGTTATGCCAACCACTTCACCTCTTACTACTGTTACGTGAGCAAAAAAGCAACTTCTATGGTGCTTGAGCCATCAGATCTCGCTGTAGCCTATCTGAAATAGCATATAGTCTTCCCAAACTAGTACTGTTAATTACATAAAGAAAGACACACCATTGGTTTTTTTTAATGCTTCCACCAGACACAAGGCTTCCTCTTGAATTCTGTCTTCAATAGTCTTCTTTCCTATCCCCATTTTCCGCAAAATCGTGATGGAAAAACGTCGGGTTAGCTTCCATCTTTCTCCATTGCTGAAAATAATTCCTATCAGAAAGAGAAAGAGAGAGGAATGACCTCCATTACGATGAATTCCAGCTGAGAGTCTTTTATCTCAGAAAATGATAATCACACTTAAGCAGGGATGTAAATAGAGTGGTGTCAGCCACAGGAATTTCCAGTGAGCCCTGCTTCACCCACCTCCTGTTTACCCAGCCTAGTATCTGTCAAGACTCTGGGTTTGACATATTACCCAACTCTTCTTCATCTGATAGCTCCTTCAAACCTCAGGATAACTCTGTGAACCAAGTGTTTTGTCCCCATTTTACTGATGATCATGGAGGCCAAATGCTTGCTCTGTGATCACACTGGTAATAAATCATGGTGAGTCCAAGTGTAGGTGACATTTTCAGGGCTGGTTTTTGTACACTGTGAATGAATTGTGGGAGAGGCAACAAACAGAGTCAATTCTCAAGAGAAGGAGAGAGCACTTGTGCACTGGAAAGAAGTTCATGAAAATCTATTCCTCATTTTCCCATTTCCCCTCTGTTTGTTAAATCTTTTCCATGAAATATGGTCTTAACACCAAGGAAGTTCAATCAGACTTCCGGAGCCAGGACAAGATTAGGAGAAAAAGTAATTTTCAGGAAACTTGTCCATAAAGATTTTAAAGAACGATGTAGAGGAGGAAGTGGCCCCATTCAGGCCTTATCTCTTTTTGCAGAAACCCAGCGACCCACCAGAGGCCTGGACAGCTTAAGGCGAGCTCCAAAACAAAGGGAAGACAGTTCAAGTACTTTAGTTTAAAAAGCTTTTTCTAGGATCACTTGCAATCCATATGTACTCATCATGGGTTTGTCCGTAATCATCTTCTCAGAGCATATTTGTGCTTTATGCTTTGTATTCCATTGGATTCAAATATTTCTTGTAGTTTTTTTTAGAAGGGTAAAAGATTGAAGGCAAGGCTGGAAATATTTCAAACCTATGTTGGCTCCATGCACACTATGGGACTTTCCTAAAATAGTCTCTTGGCAACCATGACTCAGGCCAGAAAGCAAAATGTTTGGTGACTAGGACAATTGAGTCATTTTCCTCCTTTCTCTTTTCTCTCAGTCTCTTATTATCTTAACTGAAATAACACTATCTTAACTGACCATAACTTAAAGTGAACACAAATTCATAGAATGTTAACAGTTAGATGATTTGCTTTCATTGCATCTAGTGTTTCACGAAGACATTGTGTGTCCCCTTCATTATCTACAATATGGATTAATGATCCTTTATAGAAAAATGTTGGGATGGGGCACCTGGGTGGCTCAGTTGGTTAAGCAGCTGCCTTCGGCTCAGGTCATGATCCTAGGGTCCTGGGATCAAGCCCCACATCGGGCTCCCTGCTTGGCAGGGAGCCTGCTTCTCCCTCTCACGCTCCCTCTGCCTACTGCTCCTCCTGCTTGTGTTCCCTCTCTCTCTGCCAAATAAATAAATAAAATCTTAAAAAAAAAAAAAAGAAAAGAAAAATGTTGGAATATGCTGTTTTCTCTAAATAAATTTCTCTAAATACTTACAATTTCTCTGTCCCTTAGCCTGTTTGGAGTCTTTGCAACTTACACACCCACATACATTCTCCAAATTGAGACATACCAAATCCCCGGCTGGTCCAGTCCACCACTGGGAAAGGGCCTCTGCCAGAAAACGCCTCACCCCGATCAATCAGAGCTTCCTTCACCGCTTCATATCCATATAACACCACAGTGGGCTTCATGCCAAAATACACCGTGAACACAGGGCCATAACTCTCTGCTAGCTGGGAAAGGAACAGGAGGTACAAGAGTAGTAGAATTTCAAAACTAGGAATGTAGATAAGTGAGGTAAATAGTTTTAATCTTACCAAAGAGACATTTTAATATTCACTCACCCAGTGTAAAAGATTTCAACTTCTAGAACTGGTAATTTAATAAATCACATTAAGTAGTAATTACCATTATATTGTTAGTAACACTAGTACTATTATCATCATCAACAGTTTATCATTTATTCAGTTCCTACTATGTGACACGGAGTGTATTATGGATTTTATTCATATTATTTTATTAACTTTTATCTGCCAAACCTATAATTGCACCAAATTTTTCCTTCCTTCCTATAGTTATAATAAATGATGTGTTTCTCAGGACGCCTGGGTGGCTCAGTCGGTTAAGCAACTGCCTTTGGCTCAGCTCATGATCCTGGAGTCCCGGGATCGAGTCCCGCATCGGGCTCCCTGCTCAGAGGGGAATCTGCTTCTCCCTCTGACCCTCCCCCCTCTCATGCGCTCGCTCTCTCAAATAAATAAATAAAAATATTTAAAAATAAATAAATAAATAAATGATGTGTTTCTCATCCTGTTTAAGGGATGTTCTTTCTCTTGCCCTCTGTGTAGATTCTCACAATCATCCCTCATTATCCACCCCCCCACATCTTTTTAGCACCAGAGATCTTGAGATTTTAGTAATACATAGGAACCTGGCAATATAGTCACTGACATTTCCCAGCTTCCCTGTGTGGCCATGTGACTAAGTTCACATGAACTGCTATTAACAGAAATGATGTGTGCAAATCCTACATGACTGCATAAATGGTAAATGCATGCCCTCCATCCCTTCCCCTACCCATGGAATGAAATGACAGCATGGAGATAGCTCCACTGTGTCCCTGCATAGGAGAACAATAGCCTAGGCACCCAGGATGATAAACTATAAGACTGAGAAAAGCTGGTTCTCTGGATGACCTCAAGGAAGACAGGCAGCCCAATAGCACTCACCTCTATATCATTCTGTAAGACAGAAATAAGCTCCTGTCTTCTTTAAGCCATTATGTTATTGGGATCTTTCTGTGATGGCCAATTATTTGGTATTCTAAACGATGTAGGACCTACACACTTCCAACTTATCCAAGGTTTGAGTCCACCTGCTACCTTACAATTCATTCTCCATAAAGCAACCAGAGTGATCTTTTCACAAGGCAAATGCTAACATGAGAGTCCTTTTTAAGTACATTAATGGCATCACATTGCTCTTAGGCTAAGATCAATATATTTTTTCTTAAGTAGGCTCCAAGCCCAGCATGGAGCCCAACACAAGGCGTGAACTCACAACCTGAGATCAAGACCTGAGCTGAGATCAAAAGTCGGGTGTTTAAACAACTGAGCTACCCAGGCACCCCTAAAAACCAATATTCTTTTTTTTTTTAAGATTTTATTTATTTATTTGACAGAGAGAGACACAGCGAGAGAGGGAATACAGGTGAGGGAGAGGGAGAAGCAGGCTTCCCGCTGAGCAGGGAGCCCGACATGGGGCCCGATCCCAGGACACTGAGATCATGACCTGAGCTGAAGGCAGACGCTCAACAACTGAGCCACCCAGGTGCCCCAAAACCAATATTCTTAAAAGCCTTGAAAGACCTGCATGCTCTGGCCCCTACTTACTTCTCCAATCTCATCCCACACCATGTTTTTATTTACTCTCTGGTCTATAAGCAAATTGGTCCTTTCAGAGACACCAACAAGTAATTCTCCTCCAGACTGAAACAGCCTGGAACAAACTTATATCTGTATTTTGTGTGCTTAATCCTTGATCATTCTTTAGATCTCAGCTCCAGCTGCACTTCCTCGGAGAACTCTTTGTTGACTGTTCCTCCCATCCCTGCTCCTCCAAGCTGCATATCCTCTTGCTACTGTGCCCCTATTACGTGGTTTATAATCACACACTCATTTGCATGATTACTTTACAAATACATGCCCTGCCCTCTAGACTATAAATTCCATAATGCTTGGGTCTTTTTTTTTTTCATTCACCATTGAAAAGCCCCAGCATCTAACAGAGTGCCTAATACAAAGTAGGCATTCAGTAACTTGATCAATATATGATATACTCAAGGACCATGTGCAAAATACAATTATTATTCACATTTTAAAGAAATGGAAATTAAGGCTCAGAGAGATTTTTTTAAATTTGCCCAATGCTGTGAGTTTACAAGCGGACGAGCTGGGGTGCTGACAAAACCTCTTTGAATCCATAGCCCCAAACACAGAAAGGAGCTTCCAGAGGCTGTGTTCTGGTCACTAGCTGTCTCAGAGAAGACAGATTTCAGACAATTCCTTCAAGATTTAGAGAGCTATTGCTATTTAAATAGCTAGAAATAGAGTAGTTATTCACTCACTCATCGAGCAAATATAATAGAAACTGAAAAGTATGGAATCTTGAGTTATTTCCTAGACTTAAATCAATGTTAGCTTTTAGGAGACTTTTAGTATTGTGACGCTGTAAGTCATTAGAACTTTTATGTTTTTTTTAATTGAAAGCAGTTTCATTGCCATTAGGGTTTAGCAAAGAATAATTACTAAAAAGGAAACCTGGTCACAATATGGACAGGGAATTCCTTCTTTTTGGCAATTTCAACAATCATCTCATGGATCTCATTCCCTTCTGGCAGACTTCCAGCTTAAAGTCATGTCTGGGTATCCAAGGGACCCTTCCCGTTCAAACCACTTCCTTAAAGTATGGCATCTGGGACCATATTTCATTTAGATATAGCACTATAACTGCAAACAATTGGAAGGAACGTAATCATACTTGCCTTGCTTAGGGATTTGTTGATGTTCTTAATATTTATCTGTAGAATGTTTCCAATGATTGGGAGGGGAGTGGGGCCAGGCGGCAGCTTCCCTTTGGCACGGTTACAATTCCACAGAAAGAAAGGAATCAAAAAAGAAAGACATATCACCAGAACTATGAAGAGATCCATTGCTGTGCTTTCTCTAAATGCAGTTGAAAGCTTGGAATACAAGAACTTTATAAATACTAAGTGCAAGCTGATCATCAATCCTGTTTTGAACTTTTGGATAAATAATCATTTTATCTTCAGTGGACTCTGACCCACTGGTAAAGATTAAAATAAAACCAGTCACCTCAGTATTGGTAAGTATCTAGGTTTTCAGTGGCAATCCCAACTAAAAAAATTACACTTCTTCAGAGATGGTCATATTTTAATTGTAAAATTGAAAGCCATCAGATTTTCAAAGAGCTGGAATTCATGATCTTGACCACTGATGAAAGAGAATATCTCATGTCAAAATTTATCATTATGTGAGCAGAAAAAAGAAGCACTCTCTCAGTGCCTTTTCCCAGAAAATCCAAGAAAAGGCCAGAATTAAGAGAAAGAAAGGAGGAGGCAGGGTAAAAAAGGATATGGGGAGCTAGTCACCCCTAGAGCAAAGAAGAGATAACCCAAATCTCTTGACAAAGCCCTTTTCCATGTCAGGAGTTCTGACACAATCAACTGCCAAGGGGGATGCAGGATCAACAGACAGTTGATAAGAGCCAGGAATCTACCAAATCAAGGAGAGAAATCACTCAACAGTGGAAAGTCCCTTGGCTGCATATCACCCATCCTTCCCCCCTGCACATCCATTTCCAGTGAGGGTCCTATAACCAGAGCCTACATTGCTTGTTCTCAATATACTCAATATACTCCAGCATTCAATACTATGAATATTTGAAAGTGTCTAGGAACTCACAGATATGAACAAAATTTCAAGACTCAAAGATATTTGAGGGGGAATCCTTTTACACTGCTGGTGGGAATGCAGCTGGTGCAGCCGCTCTGGAAAACAGTATGGAGGTTCCTCAAAAGTTGAAAATAGAGCTATCCTATGACCCAGCAATTTCATTACTGGGTATTTACCCCAAAGATACAAATGTAGTGATCTGAAGGGGTATGTGCACCCCGATGTTTATAGCAGCAACGTCCACAATAGCCAAACTATGGAACGAGCCCAGATGTCCATTGACAGATGAATGTATAAAGAAGATGTGGTATATATACACAATGGAATACTACTCAGTCATCAAAAAAATGAAATCTTGGGCGCCTGGGTGGCTCAGATGGTTAAGCGTCTGCCTTCGGCTCAGGTCGTGATCCCAGGGTCCTGGGATCGAGTCCCGCATCGGGCTCCCTGCTCCTTGGGAGCCTGCTTCTCCCTCTGCCTCTCTCTCTCTCTGTCTCTCATGAATAAATAAATAAAATCTAAAAAAAAAAAAAAAAGAAATCTTGGGCGCCTGGGTGGCTCAGATGGTTAAGCGTCTGCCTTCGGCTCAGGTCATGATCCCAGGGTCCTGGGATCGAGTCCCGCATCAGGCTCCCTGCTCCTTGGGAGCCTGCTTCTCCCTCTGCCTCTCTCTCTCTCTGTCTCTCATGAATAAATAAATAAAATATTTTAAAAAAAAATGAAATCTTGTCACTTGCAATGACATGGATGGAAGTAGAGGGTATGATGCTAAGCGAAATAAGTCAATCAGAGAAAGATAATTATCATATGATCTTATCATATGTGGAATTCAAGAAACAAACAGAGGATCATAGGGGAAGAGAGGAAAAATAAAACAAGACAAAGTCAGAGAGGGAGACAAACTATAAGAGACTCTTAATCATAGGAAACAAACTGAGGGTTGCTGGGGGGGAGGGAGGTGAGAGGATGGGGTAACTGGCGGATAGAAATTAAGGAGGGCACTTAATGTAATGAGTACTGGGTATTATATATGACTGATGAATCACTGAGCTCTACCTCTGAAACCAATATTACATGTTAATTAACTGAATTTAAATTTTAAAAAAATGGAGAAAAAGATATTTGAGGAAATCCAACGAGGCATAACATAGCACTTAAAAATCAGAACACTAACCCCTGAAGAAGCTAGCATCAAGAAAATAGAGAAAATGTTAAAATAAGTTTAACATCGGAGATATAAAAACTGTGCCTTCAGAGAGGTGTTAATATGGTGGAGCAGTAAAGGGACCCTAAGCTTGCCTCATCCCTCAAACACAGCTAGATCAACATCGAATCATTTTCAACAACTACGAAATTGATCTGAGGATAAAGAAAACAATGTGCACAGTTGGAGGGAGAGAACGTGGCAAATGTGAGGCTAATCTTAACAAACAAATCAAAGCACCCTAGTTAAAAGTCCAAACACTCCTCACTGCCAGCAAGGGGGAACTCTGTGGAGCACTGACCTTTAGGAAAGTACAGCCAAAACATGACAGCAGAGTGCACACAGCATACACCAGAAAGACTTCCTGGAACTCCAGGCCCTGGACAGTGTATGACCCTTTCTCAATATAGTATTACTCTCAGGAGCAGGAAACACAATAAGTTTTCATAATACACAAAAGATAGAAACTTAGACATGATGACAAGACAGAGGAATTCTCCCCAAAAGAAAGATCAAGAAAAAAATCTCAGCCAGGGATTTGCTCAAAACAGATAGAAGCAATATATCTGAACAAGAATTTAGAACAACAGTCATAAAAATACCAGCTGGGCCTGAAAGAACAGAAGATACCAGAGAAACACTGGCTGTAGAGATAAAAGACGTAAAAACTAGTCAGGCCAAAATAAAAAATGCTATAACCGAGATGCAAAACTGACTGGATATAATCACAATGAGGATGGAAGAAGCAGAGGATCAAATAGGTGATTTAGGCAGAAGATAAAATCATGGAAAATAATGAAGCTGAAAAGAAGAGGGAAAGAAAACCATGAGATCACAATATAGACTTAAGGAACTTAGGGATTCCACAGAGCGCAACAATATCCATACCATAGGAATCCCAGAAGAAGAATGGGATAAGGGGCAAAAGGTTTATTTGGACAAATTATAGCTGAGAACTTCCCTAACCTGGGAAAGGAAGCAGGCATTCAAGTCCAAGAGGCACAGAGAACTCCCCTCAAATTCAACAAAAATAGGTCAACACAGGGGAGCCAGGGTGGCTCAATCAGTTAAGCGTCTGCCTTTGGCTCAGTCATGATCTTGGAGTCCTGGATTGGAGCACCACGTTGGGCTCCTTGCTCAGTGGGGCGTCTGCTTCTCCCTCTCTCTCTGCTCCTCCCCCCTGCCCCCCCAGCTTATGCTGTCTCTTTCTCAAATTAAAAAAAAAAAAAAATCTTAAAAAAAAAAAAAAACAGGTCAACATCAAGACATATCAGAGTGAAACTTGCAAAATACAAAGATAAAGAGAATTCTGAAAGCAGCTAGGGACAAAAGGTCCTTAACCTATAAGGATAGTAGATACATAAGGTTAGCAGCAGATCTATCCATAGAAACTTGGAAGGTCAGAAAAAAGTGGCATGATATATTCAATGTGCTAAATGGGAAAAATATGTAGTCAAGAATACTTTATCCAAAGAAGATATGGTGTGTACACACACACACACACACACACACAAACACAATGGAATATTACGCAGCCATCAAAAAATGAAATCTTGCCATTTGCAATGACGTGGATGGAACTAGAGGGTATGATGCTAAGTGAAATAATTCAATCAGAGAAAGAATCATATGATCTGACTGTTATGTGGAATTATGCCCCCAACTTGAGAGCAACCAAATATATAAAACAATTACTACCAACCTAAAGAAACTCACAGATAATAATACAATAATAGTAGGGGACTTTAACACCCCCTTCACTACAATGGGCCGATCATCTAAGTAGATCAACAAGGAAACAAGGGCTTTGAATGACACACTGGACCAGACAGACTTACCAGATATGTTCAGAGCATTTCATCCTAAAGCAGCAGAATACACATTCTTTTTTAGTGCACATGGAACATTCTCCAGAACAGATCACACACTGGGTCACAAATCAGGCCTCAACCAGTACAAAAAGACTGAGGTCATACCATGCACATTTTTGGACCACAATCTTATGAAACTTGGAGTCAACCACAAGAAACAATTTGGGAGCCCCACTCCCAGTCCCCACGGCAGAGGCCACAGAGCCATCATTGTTTCTGCTGTCTCAGAAAGAAGGAGCCAGAAGCTGACTGTCGGCACAAATGAAGCCCCAGTATGGAGAGAGAATGAAGGCTCCTATGCCCAGAGTAGGCTGCAAGCTGAGGGCAGGAAAAGGGAAGTTTTGAGTCATTCCATCTTTATTTATTTATTTATTTTTTTAAAAGATTTTATTTATTTATTTGAGACAGAGAGAATGAGAGACAGAGAACATGAGAGGGGGGAGGGTCAGAGGGAGAAGCAGACTCCCTGCCGAGCAGGGAGCCCAATGCGGGACTCGATCCCGGGACTCCAGGATCATGACCTGAGCCGAAGGCAGCCGCCCAACCAACTGAGCCACCCAGGCGCCCCCATTCCATCTTTAGAACAAAGGGGAAACTGGACCATTTTCTATTGCTATGGTTCTCTAAGGTCCTTTACTACTACTGAGCTCCAAGGGGATATGCAAACACAAACAATTAATAAATCAGGAGAACTCTATCCTGGCTGGAGAAGAGCGTAACAAACAGGAAGATAGGTCAGTGAATCGTTTGTAGGAAGACAATGCTAGGAACTTCAGCTCTTCACACGGCTGCCAGCCCTACAGAGGACAACACAGTAAGAACTAAGACAGCCACTCCAGACTGGTACAGCTGGGGAATCTTCAGGCCTTTCCCTAGGTCCCACATCAAGTGTCAGATTCCATTCCAGATAGGATACATGAGAGGGCAGAGAAGTGCAAACTTGGCTGTGTAGATCAGTGATGGCCCCAGACACAGGAACTTCACATGTTCCGAATGAATCTCAAAGTTCCCAGGGACCAACAGGGCTGACAAGCCAAAAAGAGACCCCTACACCCAAGGCACACCAGTAACCTGGTGGCAAACAGACATCACTATGGGAAGAGACCAACTGTAGATAGTGATATGGGGAGACAGAGGATGGCTTAAACAGTATTCTTATTCCTGAACCTCTCCATCTCTTCTTTGGCTGTAGTTCCCAAAGGGATAGCATTTCTGACTCAGAGCTGAGGATTAAGGTGGGCACGGAGGCAATGATGGCCAACATATCTTAACAAGAACACAGCCATCCTGAGTTCCGGCCTGGATGGAAGTAAAGCTTTTTGAGTCTATATAATTGATAATATGGTAGTAAAGCTTAAAGAAATTAAGTTGGTTTTCATTTTAAAAAGGGGGCTAAAATTCTAGATGTTTTCAACAAAATATGTATAGAATGAAGTGAGTTGTCAGCATTCTGAGAGCTGTGTGTCTTACGCTCACAGTCAAGTTATATGTGGATTTTTGGCTACACAGGGGTTGTCCCCCGCTTGCCCCTGCATTGTTCAGGAGTCAAACTATATGACTTATGAACTCTACAATGGAAAGTATTTCAACTAAATTACATTTTACAAACACCTGTTGAGTAAATATGATGTATCTTGCAGTCTCACCATGACACTAAAAAACTTGTTTAAATAGTTACTGAGTTGACAATTTCACAGTGGGTAAATACAAAGGGGAGTTCAGAGAAGTCTGTCCCTGCGCGATCTTTATTTTTTTTTTATTTTTAGATTATTTATTTATGTATTTATTTATTTGAGACAGAGAGAATGAGAGAGACAGAGAGCACATGAGAGGGGGGAGGGTCAGAGGGAGAAGCAGGCTCCTCGCCGAGCAGGGAGCCCGATGCGGGACTCGATCCCGGGACTCCAGGATCATGACCTGAGCCGAAGGCAGTCGCTTAACCAACTGAGCCACCCAGGCGCCCTTTTATTTATTTATTTTTTAAAGATTTTATTTATTTATTTGAGAGAGAGAGAATGAGAGACAGAGAGCACGAGAGGGAAGAGGGCAGAGGGAGAAGCAGATCCCCTGCTGAGCAGGGAGCCCGACGCGGGACTCGATCCCGGGACTCCAGGGTCATGACCTGAGCCGAAGGCAGTCGCTTAACCAACTGAGCCACCCAGGCGCCCTGTCCCTTCGCAATCTTTAGAACTCTCCCCCTCCTTCTCCCTCAGCACAGCATGAACCCATGGGGGCACATGCTGACATGCTGCAGCTGCTTGTCGACCCATATCAGGCCCTGTCTTGTCACCAGTCTACACCACCATGTACCCCTGGCCTAACCCTCATCACTGACCTTCACTGCAGTGCACACAGCTGCTAGGAGAGTGTGCAGCCCTGGGAGAGCACGCCAACAGAAACAGAGAGTAGAATGGTCTTTGCCAGAGCCTCGGGGGAAGAGGAAATAAGGAGTTGCTATTCAGTGGGAGAAGAGTTTCTGTCATGTAAGATGGAAAGTTCTAGAGATCTGCTGTACAACATTGTGACTATAGTTAACAATACTGTATTGTGCACCTAAAAATTTGAGGGGAAAGATCTCATATTAAGTGTTCTTACCACAACATAGGAAGGAGGGAAGGAAGGAAGCAGGAGGTGGGGACGGAGGAAGAAATCAGCCACAATCAAATGACCAGTTGCAGAAACAAGGGCTGTAGTTATCATGAACAACTACATTTCGTTATGACTGGGTGTGTGTGTTTGTGATCTTTGTTACAGGACATCGATGAGAAGAGTAAACATCACCCAAGGACTTGACATCTTCTTTTGGCTAAAGGGTTAGTTGTTTTGTTTTTCTTTTTTCTTTTTTTTAGTACACACGCAGAAGAGTTGTATCGTGTTAAATAGAAGTATGACTTTGTTATTTATTTGGAGATTAAGTATGATTTAAGGAGATGTGTATGGGTGCTGAGTTTATAAGGGGTTGACTGTAATGGTTAGTATTCTGTACCAACTTGGCTAGGCTATAGCACCCAGTTATTTAATCAAATACTAATCTAAATGTTGCTGTAAAGGTCTTTTTGGAGATGTGGTTAACATTGACAATCAGCTGACTTTAGGCTGACACACTGATTCACTCTAGACACATAAACTCCCAATGAAGTAAATCCTATAACAATTCATTACCCTTAACAGATGAAAACATGGGAGTCCAGAGGCTAACTGATATGCCCAGTATCACATGGTTAGTAAGCCCCAGAGTTGGAATTTGAACTGACAAACTAGCTCCAGGGTCTGAGCTCTTAACCACCACACTATGCTGCCTCTAACTGAAGCAGGTCTATGTGAACTGACGTCAAACAGTCTCCAAGTTATCCTAGTAACTCAAAAATTGAGGTGCACCTCAGGAAGTATAATGTGCTAACGTTTACAATCAAAAGTATCTAATTTAGTTTGATCATTATTCTCCCTGAGCTTTATGAAGGTGCGCTGCACTGTCTGTTGGTATCCAGGGGGGATTATACATTCTGAAAGCATTCTGACTCCAAACTCTTTATAGATGACTGGATGTCTCTCTCTCTCTGGGAACTTATAAGATTTAATCTAAGCAATCAAAAGTTTTATGATTGTTGTGCCTTGAGATAATTTTTTTTTAAAAGATTTATTTATTTATTTGAGAGAGCGAGAATGAGAGAGAGTACATGAGAGGGGGGAGGGTCAGAGGGAGAAGCAGGCTCCTCGCAGAGCAGGGAGCCCGATGCGGAACTCGATCCCGGGACTCCAGGATCATGACCTGAGCCGAAAGCAGTTGCTTAACCAACAGAGCCACCCAGGCGCCCAATAATTTTTTTTTTTAAGACTTCATTTATTTATTTGAGAGAGAGCACAAGAGGGGGGAGGGGGAGAGGGAGAAGCAGGCTCCCCGCTGAGGAGGGAGCCTGACACGGGGCCTCGATCCCGGGACTCCAGATCATGACCTGAGTAGAAGGCAGTTGCTTAACCAACTGAGCCACCCAGATGCCCTGAGATAATTTTTCTTTCATTGTGCTATGAGATTTGTAGATCCTTTCTACTTAGATATCAGTATATGGAAGTTTCTTCTCTGGTGATATTTGGTTTCTTTAGGAAAAAAATCCTATAGTCTTCTGTTACCTGGCTGCTGGGTTACTGGGAGCAGAATGGAAGAAAGAGCTAAGGATCCCAGAAATCAGTATGTGGACCATTGCCCAATGCCCAGATTTTCATCCTGGTACCTCATTCTGTCCTCACTATGCCAGCTGTCCCAGGTCCAGGGTATCTGAGGAGTTTTAGTTTCTGTCGAACAACAGGTTTCAACCTGGGGTGATTTTTATCCACCCCCACCCCAAAGGACCATTTGGCAGTGTCTTAAGACATTATTTGTTGACATTAACTTGGGGGGTGCTACTCGCATCTAGAGGGTAGAGGCCAGGAATCCTGTTAGACGTATACAATGCACAAAACAGCTCCCACTACAAATACTTGTCCAAAATACCAACAGCACCCAGGTAGAGAATCCCTATTCCAGAGAGTAAACTTCCTATATCCTATGGGAACAAACATCATGTGACTGCAAAGGACAGTGTAAAAACAGAGGTGGCAACAGCTATGATTGCAGAATTCCAACATGCTGTACTGTTTTTAGCTTCATCCATGCCTTGTCTTCTTTGAAAATTGGTACTTCCAAATCCTGAATCTCTGAAGGATTCTGTGTAAGTAACTTGACTTCCTTCTCATGGGTAAACGTCCTCTGCAGACATTTGGGTTGTAAATTCCTTCCACTCCCCTAAATTAGTTACTATTCCTCCATCTGATTTTTTTGCCTTTCACAAATAGATTGATATATATTTTTTTATTATTATTTTTAAGTAATCTCTACACCCAACATGGGGCTGGAACTCACAAACCCGAGATCAAGATCAATATCTGAGTCAATATTTTTATTTAAAAAAATTTTCCTAAGTAAGCTCTGTGGCCAACCTGGGGCTTGAACTCATGACCCCGAGATCAAGAGTCGCATGCTCCACTGACTGAGCCAGCCAGGTGCCCCTAGACTGAAGTCTTTTATTGGCTAATCCTTCTAAGTCCTTTCTCTGAAAATTGGTACTTGTTTTCAAGTCCCTCAGAGTCATCTTAGTGTGGTTTTGGAAGGAGCAGATACAGATGTGTATATCAACCTCTCATACTTCACCGGCATTCCTTCAAAGATGAACTTTTATAAAGAATTTACTTGTAGGGGTGCCTGAGTGGCTCAGTCGTTAAGCGTCTGCCTTCGGCTCAGGTCATGATCCCGGGGTCCTGGGATCGAGCCCCGCGTCGGGCTCCCTGCTCAGCGGGAAGCCTGCTTCTCCCTCTCCCACTCCCCCTGCTTGTGTTCCCTCTCTCACTGTGTCTCTCTCTGTCAAATAAATAAAATCTTTTTTAAAAACCCCAAATAATTGCATCTAGTCACATCTAGGGAGTGCTAAAAGCTAAAAACCTTACCTATGACAACATGATAACGATGTATCTGACTTGTCTGTTGCTGAGATAGAAATAATGAACCCCATCCTGAGATATAGACTCTTTCTTCTGTTAAAATATCCTAAGAGCACAGATTTAATTAAAAAAAAAAAAGGTGAATTTTAGAATAGATTAGAATTAATAGAAGTTGGAAAGCCATGGATAGTCCTCGTCTTCTTTTTCTTAAAAAGTTTTCATGAGGGGCGCCTGGGTGGCTCAGTCGGTTAAGCAGCTGCCTTCAGCTCAGGTCATGATCCCGGGGTCCTGGGATCAAGCCCCGCATCGGGCTCCCTGCTCGGTGGAGAGTCTGCTTCTCCCTCTCCCTCTGCCTGCCTCTCTGCCTACTTGTGCTCTCTCTCTATCTCTCTGTCAAATAAATAAATAAAATCTTTAAAAAAAAAAAGTTTTCATGATTATTTATTTATTTTTTTAAAGATTTTATTTATTTATTTGAGAGAGAGAGAATGAGAGGGGGGAGGGTCAGAGAGAGAGGCAGACTCCCTGCTGAGCAGGGAGCCCGATGCGGGACTCGATCCCGGGACTCCAGGATCATGACCTGAGCCGAAGGCAGTCGCTTAACCAACTGAGCCACCCAGGCGCCCTTCATGATTATTTAAATTGATGTGCCCACGGCCATCTTCTGTTCAAATTGCCTGGCAGGACTGGAGAGAGGAAATAACACCAAGGGGAGAATGTTAGGGAAAACTGGAGGGCGGAGCGGACAAGAGATGTGATGATTCTCTGAACGCTGTGCAGAATCCCAGCTTCATGGCCGTGGTTTGGGGCAGGCACAGCTGGCTTGAGCTGTCATAGGTGTATTTTTTTTTTTTTTTCTTAAGAGGTGGCCACTTTGTTGATCATGGTGCACTTTTTCATAATTCATTCTTCATAGTGAAAATGTCCAGAGTAGTGTTCCAATGTTGGAGGTGGGAAAATGGATACCTACTTTCTATTACTAAAGAATGAAATAAGTTCTGGAATTTTGTGTGAAATAGTCTCAGATGATTTGCAGTCTGAGAAGCATTCTAAAAGGTTAGCTTTGGGAGAAGGGAATTGCTATGAATGACAAAAGGAAGCTACAGGAAACTTACTATCCAAGAAAGCTATATCCAGGAAAGTAGTGAGTACAGAGTGAGAATATCTGAGCCAATATTTTTATTTAAAAAAAAATTTCTGGGGCGCCTGGGTGGTTCAGTCGTTAAGGTCTGCCTTTCGGCTCAGGTCATGATCCCAGGGTCCTGGGATCGAGCCCCGCATTGGGCTCCCTGCTCAGCGGGAAGCCTGCTTCTCCCTCTCCCACTCCCCCTGCTTGTGTTCCCTCTCTCGCTGTGTGTCTCTCTGTCAAATAAATAAATAAAATCTTAAAAAAAAAAAAAATTCGAAGCAAGAGCTGTGCCCAACATGGAGCTTGAATTCACAACCCTAAGATCAAGAACCCCATGCTGTACCAACCAGGCATCCCCATCTATCTGAGTCAAGTTTTTTTTTTTAAGTGGGCTCCATGCCCAGTGCAGAGCCCAATGCGGGGCTTGAGCTCATGATCCTGAGACCAAGACTGAGATCAACAGTGAGACACTTAACCGACTGAGCCATCCAGGCACCCTATCTGAGACAATATTTTAATAATATACAAGTAAATTCTTTTTTTAAAAAAAGATTTTATTTATTTGACAGAGAGAGACATCAAGAGAGGGAACACAAGCAGGGGGAGTGGGAGAGGGAGAAGCAGGTTCCCCACTGAGCAGGGAGCCCGAAGAGGCACTCGATCCCAGGACCCTGGGATCATGACCTGAGCCGAAGGCAGATGCTTAACAACTGAGCCACCCAGGCGCCCCTACAAGTAAATTCTTTATAAAAGTTCATATTGAAGGAATGCCGGTGAAATATGAGAGGTTGATATACACATCTGTATCTGCTCCTTCCAAAACCACACTAAGAGGACTCTGAGGGAATTGAAAATAAGTGCCAATTTTCAAAGAAAGGACTTTGGGGAGTGGCGGGCAGAGGGAGAAGCAGGCTCCTGCTGAGCAAGGAGCCCGACGCGGGACTCGATCCCAGGACCCTGGGATCATAACCCAAGCCGAAGGCAAACGCTTAACCAACTGAGCCACCAAGGCATCCCAAGAATTTTGTTTTTAAAGATTTTATTTATTTGAGAGAGAGAGCACAAGCTGGAGGGGACAGGCAGAGGGAGAGGGAGAAGCAGACTCCCTGCTGAGCAGGGAGCCCGATGCAGCGCTCAATACCAGGACCCTGGGATCATGACTGAAGGCAGATACTTAACCGACTGAGCCACCCAGGTGCCCCTGGATGCAATTATTTGACAAAATAACTGCCCAACATATGGCCTGACATAGAGAAATAATAGTACAAGTTCCCCTTGGATATATCCATCTGTCCAAGTACATCGGGAGATTCAGTGGTTCTTATACCTGGCCTATCAAAATTATGCTAGACGCAAAATAAAATAATGTTTCCTAGAACAATGAAGTTATATTTAAATATAGTATTGGAAAGATAGCTACTAGTAACTCAGACACCAGGGGACGTGGAGCCCTCCCTACCCTGGGAGTAATGAAGAGGCTTTATAGCATCCATGACACCCATCAGAATGTCCACAAAAAAGCAAGTGGTGAATATAAGTGAATTCTTCCCAGAAAGAACTATGGCCTCCAAAAGGTTAAGAATCATTCATTAGGGGTAGAAAAAAGGGCAGATACTGGTCGAAATTTGCTTCTTCCTACAGCTCCCTAAACCACATGCTTAACCACAAATCACCGCTCCTCATCCAGACCACATGAAACTGGTGGTTCAGACCAAATTCCACAGAAAATTATTTGAATGTCCCTCGGTCTCATCTTCTGGACTCTACCCATTTAGGGCCCTAAGTCTTGCCCACTAACCAATTTCTCCATTCCACCCAGTGCTATAGACAGTAGTTGGTTAAAGCAATTGTAATTTCAGAGGAAGAAATGTCCTTTTGTTCTCTGGGAGTACCACTTTTCCAAATGTTCTAGAATCTCCCCTCTTCCCTTTCAGTGGAAATGTTACACCTACACTTAGGTCTTTATGCCTTTATTTCCTTCCCATGCAATTTTGCCACTTGACCCAACCACCATTTACTCTGTCACCCAGATCTTTTCCCACTTCTGTTTAACATCTCAGAACATCTCCCATTACTGAAATTTCTCCCACCATCATCTCCTTCCTTCTAAACTGCTCTCTTCAATTAGGAGTCACCAGCAAATCCTCTTAACCCATCCAAAGGCTGCCCAGGTGTCCACCTTCCTAACTAAATCTGATCTATTCCTTCTTTTTAATGTTTTTTGTCTCCTTTGGCTTCTTTGGACCTGCCCAACTGATTATATTCCTAGATCCATGAGAACACGGAAAGGGAGACAATCTTCATGTAATTTTGACTCCTCTATCATCAAACTCCTCTACATTTCCATGGCTGTAATGATTATCCAGACTCTCAGATGCTAGGTCTAGAAATGAGAGCTCTCCAGCAGGGAACCAAACACTCCAGGGAACTCCTGTATAATTTCCCACAAATATCACCTGCAATCACATCCTTGTTCTTGCTCAAATTTCCTTCTAATCAAATTAAAAATTTCTAATTCAGTATTCAGATCACTCCATAAATACCAAACTCCAATTCCGTATCAGTTCAAAGACCAATTTTCTTTTATTTTTTTTAAGATTTTATTTATTTATTTGAGAGAGAGAGAGAGGACAAGAGGTGAGGAGAGGGAGAAACAGGCTCCCCGCTGAGCAGGGAGCCAGTCGAGGGGCTCAATCCCAGGACCTTGGGATTATGATCTGAGCCGAAGGCAGATGCTTAACCAACTGAGCCACCCAGGCGCCCCTAAAGCCTAATTTTACTGAACTATTTAAAGCCCTCTGCTCCCTCTAGCCACTCTCCTTGCCAATCCACTTGTCCAGAGTGGGCATGTCTTCACCCCATCTGAAATTCCCTTTCCCATCCTTCATGGCCTACATATGCCATCACTTAAATTTTTTTTAAAGATTTATTTATTTATTTGGGGGGGTAGGAGGGGCAGAGGGAGAGGGAAAGAGAATCCCAAGCAGACTCTGAGCTGAGCACAGAGCCTGACGTGGGGCTCGATCTCGTGACCCTGAGATCATGACCTGAGTCAAAACCAAGAGTCTGACACTTAACCAACTGCGCCACCCAGACACTGCTCCGTCATCACTTCTTTTAAGTACAGTATGATCGCACTATGTTCAATCATCAATTACAGCTTCACCTTAGAGCATGGTATTTTGCATGTGCTGCTCTTTAAAAATTACAGTTATTTCATCCAAGATGGAAGAATATGTATATTCCGTCTTTCTTCAATTACACCTTTACCACTTACCAAACAGAGACCATATGTTTCATCACTCTCTACCCTTACAAGATTGAAAGTCCCCCATGATGCGTAGTGTAGGTCCCTGCACACAGTACTTGCTGCTGGAAGTGCTTTTCAAGTAGTAGTATTTGCCCACTCACCTCAATGCCACCAGAAAGAAGAAAATGATGCACCTCATGGCCCAATTCACACTTGTCCCGCTCCATCTTGACCAGAGAGAGTCAAAGAAGTTCCAATGATTGTTAGTGTTCATGAATTCTTGGTATTCCTTTACTCTCTCCAAAACAAAACTATTTTAAATCAGCAGTATGGAAAGTATGGGTTTCCTAGATAGAATGGATAGGAAAGGAGAAAGTATGGTAAGCTTAATAGAGGAAGCCTCATCTATCTAATTAAAAACAACAATAACAAACTCGTTGAGCACACTTATACCTATGTCAAGTCCTGCATGAGGCTTTGGGATCATAAAGATAAATATTACATGGTCCCTATACTGGAGGTGAAACTTCTACTACACATATAAAATAATTCTCTATACTGAACTCAGAAAGAGATGGAGGGAAAAACCTGACTATACTTAGAGACAGCAGTCATTCCTTACACTCATATTATCATTTTGGTGTTTATAATCAATTCACAATTGATTTTTTAAAACTATATAAAATTATATATTGAAAATATGCCTCGGGGCGCCTGGGTGGCTCAGTTGGTTAAGCGACTGCCTTCGGCTCAGGTCATGATCCTGGAGTCCTGGGATCGAGTCCCACATCGGGCTCCCTGCTCGGCGGGGAGTCTGCTTCTCCCTCTGACCCTCCCCCCTCTCATGCTCTCTCTATCTCATTCTCTCTAATAAATAAATAAAAAAAAATTAAAAGAAAAAAAAAAGAAAATATGCCTCAATAAAAGTGGCTACACAAAAAGATTTTCAGACATTCCAAAATGAAGTAAATTCATCACAGCACCCACACTGATTATGACTAAAATAAACTTCATGCTGAAGGAAAATGATCCCAGATGGAAGCATGGATCTGTAGGAAGGAATGAAGACCACTGGAAAGGGTCATGTGTGGGAATTACTTACATAAAATTATTTAAAATATCATAGACTAGTTTTTAAATCTCCTTTAAAGACTACTCTTGGGCTTAAACATAGGTAGAAATAAAATATATGATAACAATATAAAAGATAGGAGGCAGGAAATGGAAGTATGCTACCGTAAGGTTTCTACACCAGGCTTGATATAGTACAATATTAAACATGGATCACATTAAGTTGATGCTGTAAATCATAAACCACTAAAAAACAACAACAGAAAAGAACAGAGCTAATAAATCATTGAGATCAAATGGAACCATAAAAAATAAACAATTGATCCAAAAGGATGCAGGTTATTTTTTTTAAGATTTTATTTATTTATTTATTTATTTATTTGAGAGATACAGAAAGAGAATGCACGCAAGCAGGGTGAGTGGTAGAGGAAGACGGAGAAGCAGGCTCCCCGCCGAGCAGGGAGCCCCATGTGGGGCTCCATCCCAGGACCCTGGGATCATGACCCAAGCTGAAGGCAGACACTCAACCAACTGAGCCACCCAGGTGCCCCTAGGATGCAGGCTAAACAAGAAAACAACAAAAATGACTCTGAGAAAACCAGTAGCAAGATGGCAGACATTTACCCAATGACATCAAAAATTAAATGAAATAAAAATGGTCAAAACCCAAAAGTAGAGATTGTCAGGCTGAATGAAAAGGCAAGACTCAAACAAGTGCTTTCTTCAGAAAACCAACTCTAAATATAAAGACACAGAAAAATTAAAAGGATGTAATATTCAAACACTGATCAAAGAAAGCTGGGATGGCTATTTTAATGTCAAAGTAGATTTCAGAATAGGGAATACCACCAGAGATAAAGATGTTCATTTCATAATCACAAAGGAGTTATACCTCATTACAAAATAAAAGAATCTTAAATGTATAAACACCTAAAACAGAGCTTTAAAAGATATAAAACAAAACTGATAGAACTGAAAGAACAAGACAAATTCATGATTATAGCTAGAGATTTCAAGTGTCCACTCTCAGTAAATGATTGAACAAGCAGACAGAAAATCAGACAGAAGACTTGAACCTAATTACTTTGAACCTATCGACCAACTTGACCTAACTAATTTAGTTTCCTAAACAGCAGAACACACATCCTCTTTAAGTACATATAGCACGTTCACCAGTACAGACCACGATCTGGGCTACGAAAGAAACTGACAGTTGGTCACTTGAAAAGGATTTAATTCTAATTCATCCTTTGAATTGAATTAGATATCAATAACAGAAAGATAGCTGGAAAACCACCAAATATTTAGATATTAAACACAATGCTCCTGAATACTCCAGGGGTCAGAGAAGAAATCACAGGAGAAACTGGAAAACTATTCTGAAATGAATGAAAATGAAAACACAGTGTATCAAATTTGTGGCATGTGGCCAAAGGAGTACTTACAGGGAAATATATGCCACTAAATGCTTGTATTAGAAAAAAGTCTCAAACCAATGACTTAAATGTCCACCTCAAAATAACAAGAAAAAGATCAAACTAACCCAAGGCAAAGAGAAAGAAGGAAATAATAAAGATGACTACAGAAGTCAAACAGAAGCCAGAAAGAAGACTGATCAAGGGGCCAGGACACAAACGACAATGCAGGGTCCCCACATCAGGAGGAGTGAGTGACTTGGCTAAGTTCTCACAGCTAGGAGGGGTGGAACTGGTTGCCCTGAGGAAAAAAGTTCAGTCCCTTTCAGAGTGGGATGACCCGCGGGGAGTGGAAGTCTGGCTGAGGCAGGTCTCTCCCCATCAGAGTCCCCAGGTATTCAGATCCTTCTCAGGAGGGACGACTCTCCCATGGCAGACAGGTATAGTGGGGAGGCAGTAAAAACAGGATTCCAATGTGCCCAACACACTGGAGTACACAAATAACACGGCATCTCCTCAGCCGCAAGATGAAGCCCAGAGCCCGGATTCATTCTGCTGGTGGCTCGTTGTGCTTCAGTCTCTCTACTGCCCTTGGCCTTTGCCTATCTGCACCACCAATTACAGCAGGAAGGGGATGGATGGGCTCAAATCAAATCAAGGGGGGACCTGAGGGACAAACCAACAAAGTCCCACCACAAGATAATTTACCCAGCCCTCAGCTATATGGTACACACATGACAGGAAACAGCTAGATCTGAGCTCCTGTAACACAGACCAAGGCAAGAAGGCATAGATTATTTTATTTATCAGAGTTTAATGGCCCACACTGTACCCTTTCCTCCCACTGCTAGGCTCTGCTCACCTGTGTTTCAGCGAGGAGTGACCACACGCCAGGCCTTGAACAGGGGCAGGCCGGTCGCCTTTCTCCTCAGACTCCAGGATTTCCTGCAGAAGCTGGAATGAGGTAGACTACTTTTTGTTTAAACTCCTGTTGCTCCCGTAGCATCTCATAAACGTCAGATTCTTGGCTTATGCCAAGGTTGCCAAGAGAGTAATGCTTTAATCTGTGAAGAGTGTATGGAAAGTCACCATGTGTCAGAAGTTAGAAACAATTCACCATGCATCTCCCTTCAGAGAACATTCAACACAAATCTCAGGATATATACACGTAATCACGACGGAGGAAACCCTCTCTTAATTCAACAGATGTTTCTGCCAAGGTTTTGAGGCATATTTATCACCCAAACTGGCTGTTGCTTCAATGCAGTGAGTGTCTTCAGCCGAATAGTTTCAGCAATTCAATCCCTTGTTGGCTTAATCCCATTGGACAGAGACACTTTAATTCTTTTCAAATTGATTCGACGACATGGCATCAGGAGAATATTTAGAGGGAGGAGGGCAGTCAGCCACCAACTAACCACTGCAACAAAGCCCCTCATGCTCTCAGTCCTTGGCCACAGGCATTCTTTTTTTTTATATATAATTTTTTTAATTACGTTAGTCACCATACATCATTAGTTTTTGATGTCGTGTTCCATGATTCATTGTTTGCGTGTAACACCCAGTGCTACATGCAGTACGTGCCCTCCTTTATACCCATCACCGGGCTAGCCCATCCCCCCAGCCCCCTCCCCTCTAAAACCCTCAGTTTGTTTCTCAGAGTCCATAGTCTCTCATGGTTCATCTCTCCTTCTGATTTCCCCTCCATTTTTCCCTTCCTTCTCCTAATGTCCTCCATGCTATTCCTTATGTTCCACAAATAAGTGAAACCATATAATTGTCTTTCTTTTTTTGACTTACTTCACTCAGCATGATCTCCTCCAGTCCCATGTTGATGCAAATGTTGGGTGTTCATCCTTTCCGAAGGCTGAGTAATAGTCCATTGTATACATGGACCACATCTTCTTTATCCATTCGTCTGTTGAAGGGCATCTCGGCTCCTTCCACGGTTTGGCTATTGTGGACATTGCTACTATGAACATTGGGGTGCAGTATGGCCCTTCTTTTCACTACATCTGTATCTTTGGAGTAAATACCCAGTAGTGCAATTGCTGGGTCATAGGGAAGCTCTATTTTTAACTTTTTGAGGAACCTCCATACTGTTTTCCAAAGTGGCTGCACCCATAGGCATTCTTCCAGAGCAGAAACCACAATGTTCCCTATAAATTCCAGTACATGCTCATTCATGACTGTATACATTCTAATTCTCATTCGCACTGAGTCCCTGGTTCCCCACCTATGAACTCTCCTGTTAGTAGGGTTTGTGATGTTCGCAGAGCAATACAATAAATGCATTTTGTAATCTGTAAAGTGCCATCAGTGTAAGGGACCATCACACCGGATGTACTTTCTAGATGCTATTCTTTCCTTGAGAGCAGAGTTCTTGGAGGTGGACGAGGGGGGCAGGTGAAGGAGCCTTCAGCTCATGCCCAAGGAACTGGGGACACCAGACCACACCTGCCACACTTTCTCCTGCCATTCTGAGCTCCCAGCTTAGAACGGGGCTGGCAGAGTTGAGAGGTCTCCTGCTCTAGGGGCCCATTACTGAGGGAGAAGCTCTTTGTTGTCTGGTCAAGGAAGGAGACAGAAGGAGGGCAGCCCAGGTCGGTCTGCTCTACGTTAAAAATCTATCTCAAATCCAGTGACTTTCCCCTACTCCCACCTCCACCACCCTGTACCAGCCTTTCCATTTCCTACCTGGGCCAGGGCAGTACTCCTACCTGGTCTGTGTCCACTCTTGCCCCCGACAGTGAGTTTTTGACATGGCATAAAAATCAGTTATTTGAATGAGTAAGTCAGTTTAAGGTAGGCCCCCGTGAAAAAACCCTCCAAATAAATCCCAACTCAGGGGAAAAAAAAAAAAAATTCCGAAGTTTCTGTCATGGTTGTCCCAAATTGGTTTTCCCAGGAAGCAAACTGTGACTGGGGCTAGTGAGAGGAAAGTTTAGGAGGGGTGCCCTTGGGACCATGACCCGGGGGGGGGGGGGGCAGGTAGGGAGGGAAGCAGAATTGGGCAGGGACAGAAGTTGGCTATGAGCAATACAGCTTTAAGGGAGGCCTCAGCTGACGCCTACAAAGCTGTCCAGCGCTGGGGCAGGGGGCCAGGCCCAGATATGCCCACCTCCACAGGCACTGGACCACCTGGGAAAGGGGCCATGCGGCAGCTCTCTTCAGCTGAGACACTCTCCAAGAGGATTGACGGACAGGGCCCTCCACTGGCAACTCTCCGGGCAGCTCGGGGGCCGAGTTCTTGGGTTCTGAAGGGGTATCTGAGTGACGCAGCAGGTGTCAACATTGCGGGAGTCTCCATGCGACTTCTGAAGGCAGCCCTGCCCAGATCTGGTGGGCCGGCTTTTCCTGTGGGAAGCTTAGAAGAGGAAGGTCACTAGAAGAGGAAGGTCACAACAGCCCCTGCGCCTGACGTTGGTTAACTCAGGCTCATTATCTCCAGTCTCTACCACACATTCTGGATTCCCCTCACCCTCACCCAGCGCCTCTGCGTATCTGAGCCTTCCCTGATGGTATGACCCAGAGCCACATCTCTGCAGGTCCCATGTCCTTCTCGGGCTGTGGCTGCTGAACGTGTCTATTTGCCGTCAAAATTCCACAAGGGACTACCAAGAGGTGTCTGAGTTTAGCACCTAGGTGATGCCCACCCTGAGCGCACTTCCCTTCACAGAGCAGGGGGGCTGTGGTGCAGCCAGCAGCCTGGAGAGGGACTCGTTAGGGAATATCTGAAGGCCCAACTGGTAAAGCTCTCCGTCTCTTGTTTGGGAAGCATGCATTTCCTCAGATAAGTCCCAAAACAGCCAGATAGAAAAGAAGACCTCATTTCGTTACAACATAACAAGGTTGATCTTACATTAGCATCAGAGAAAGAGAATTTGGAGCTAACTTCAAAGGAAGGTGAGAACATGGCTCATTCAGACGTCAATCTTCTCACACATGGAGAAGGCCTGCAAATCTCAGAGAAGCGGGGAACCCAAAACAAGAGGAGAGGCCTCAGAAATCTCATCTGGCCTGAGACAGGAACAAGGACGCATGGTGAAATGATAAAGGGACACCACGCTGCCTTGGAGTCTATACATTTATTGAGTAAAACCGAACTCGATGTCAGACATACACCATTCGGTTTGGTTCCAATGTGGCTGATGTCCATTTACAGCAGAGATGAACTGAGGTAAAGAGAAGCCCCAGGGACGCTGGCAAGGGGACACGGGACAGAACAATCCTCTGTTAATTGTAAAAGCAGGCGTCACACAGCCAGTGAGTCAGTTAGCAGAGGCAGGGAGACGTGGTGCTTAACGAGCAGGGGTGAAACCAAAGTCAGCAAGAGCTTTCAGGAGAGGAGAGGGCCAGAGCATGGAGAGGAGGAGAGCTGCTGGGTCACTTGGGGAACACAGTGACCACGTCGTAGCCCTCAGGGGGTGTGACCCGCTCCCGCGCGTGCTTTTCACAGTAGATTTGATCCTCCACGAAGAAGTGGCCCTTCTGCTTCAGGCTGGTGCTGCAGTCAGTGCACACGTAACACTCGGGGTGACGGTGGCGGTCCCGCAACTTCACGAACACGCCGCTGCAGGAGGGAGGCAGGAAAGGGCTCCATTAGCGACAAGCACCCGAGGGAGGCACCCAGCCGGGGGTTCCTTCCACGAGGCCCATCAAAGGGCGGAGCAGGGCCTCGGAACCGGCCACATGCGTTTCTCGTGAAGCCCTCCCTCTTCAACAGAGGGGCCCCTTCTCTGGTTTGGTGTCAGGCACGCCCTGAGAGCTCCAGGGCCGAGGAAAACCTTCCCACTGGACTCCGGACATAAAGGCCCACCTGGCCTCTCGGCCCCGTTTTCCAGGCAGGACTTCTTCCCCGTCACGCCTCGCGGGGGCAAACTCGGGCACCGTGCACAGCTGCACGGTCGAGCCCACCTGCAGGGCCTCCGACGCCGGGGCGAGGCAGATACTCACACAATGCCTGTGCCACACTTGTCACACATGGGCAACTTCTGGGCGTTTCCAATCGACGCAGCCACTTTGGTGACCGGAGCCTTGACACTTCTGAAACCTGAGGGCTTGTTGGGATCCCCTATAATGAGGAAAACACTTGGGTTGGCCAGGGAGGCTGGGGCTGCAGAAGTTTCACTTAGCTTTTTCAGAGTTGCTTATACGGAGTGCCAGCAAGTTCCTGGGGTCAAACAGACCCGACTCTGCTGTGTGACCCTGGGAAAGTTACTTAACCTCTCTGGTCCCTCAGTTTCCTTTTCTATAAAACAGGAGCTCATTTCCCCCTTCACCATGGTACAAAAAGATTAAAAAAAAATACACACAAAGCCCTCCCACAGTACCGGGCACCAAGTCAGCCCCCGAAACACAAATTACATTTCATTCTGATTAGATGCACGCCCATACGGACATGGGAACTTCAAGATGACTTCTACAGACGGAATAAATAAATAAAGACGTTATCTGATCATCAAAAGATAGTGAATTTAGATGCTGAAAGAAACCCACATCACAAGAAATACAAAACCATTACAGTAGAGCACCTACAGGCAGCCAGATAAAGCCCACCTGCTACAGAGCAGAGCAAGCGACCTCCCTGCAGTCGGCCGTGTCTGCATCAGATAAGCTGTGGGCCGAAGAGCGGCGCGGCCCAGCACGTCTTCAGAGCACTCTCTCGTGGGAGCTCGTAACAGCGGCCAGCGAGCAAAATGACTATCACTGCGTCTATTCGGCCGGCCAGCGATCTTGTTGTCAGCTGGGACTGCAAATTCCTGCAGCACCAGGACCCTGTGTTACAGACTCTGCAACACGCCACAGAGCCTCGCGTGGGGCTGAGCATATACCGGAGCCCCCACAAATGCACAGAAACGAACGGTGAAATGCCGTGACAAAGGCTGGGATGGTCCCCACCTCGGCCCAGCATGCTGTGGCCAAGAAGCCAGGGAAGTCTCTACACCAGTGGTTCTGAGCTGGCGTGGGTGAGATGGGCCAGGCCCCAGGAGAGACTCCCTAAAATTCACAGACCAGGCTCTTCGCCAGAGCTGCTAACGGAGCATCTCTAGAGGCAGGGGCCCCAGGAGATCCTACTCTATGTCCCCAATTAAAACCCACTTCTTCAGACTAAAAGCAGCTGTTCTCAGATTTCACCGTGCATCAGAACGACGTGGAGGGCTGACTCCAGTGCAGCTCACTGGGCCTCACCACCAGAGTTTCTACTTCAGCAGGCCTGGGGTAGGGCCCATGAAGTTGCATTTCTAGTAAGTTCTCAGGTGCTGCTCAGGTGACTGGTCCAGGAACCACCCTTTGGGAACCACTGGACAAGAGCAAGAGAATGGTTTCCTGCATAAGGTGAAGGGCTGAGGAGAGTCGTCCTGTGACCGTAGCCAGGCTGGGCAATCCTGGGGCTGACAAACCAGGGCCCTGGTTCTCGTCCTTTTAGAAAATGGGTCCCCCTACGTCGACTGGTGCTTCCGAACCAGAACTTGAGATGAATCCAAATAAGGAGCATTGATTATTGGCTAGGATGGTGGACTGTGTATTTGGTCCACAATTATGTGTCCCCTCCCTACCCTTGCCATGCATCCCAGTAGGTCAGTGATTCTCTACTGGGAGTGATTTTGTCCCCGGGGGAAGAATTTGGGTTGTCACAACTGGAGAGCAGTGCTTCTGGCCTCCACTGGGTAGGGGCTGGGGATGCTGAGAAATGTCCTAAAATGCACATAACAGCCCCACCACGAGGACTTATCTGGCCCCAAATGTCTACAGCATCAAGCTGGGAAACCCTATTCTTGGTGGAGCATACGCCCCACGCCACAGACTTTGGGTTTGGCCCCATGACTTGCGTTGGCCAAGGGAATGGGAGCAGACGTGGGCCTTGTTCTGGCAGAAGCATGAGGTGCACTTGTGTGGTTTGGTCCTGTCCCCACGAGCTTCCGACCTGTGCCTTAGCAGCAAGGCCCCAAGAGTGACGCCTCCCTATGCTGGGCTTCTGGCATGGGAAGACTCACGGAGCCAGGCCCAGCCCCGCCACACCGGGCCAACCCAGAGCCCGACCAGCAGCCCTCATGGAACACGAACAAGAAGTGCATTCTGCAGCCCACTGAGGGCTAACGCCAGGGGCCAGCCAGCCTGGGAGAGTCTGGTGCCTTATGGAGAATAGCAAGAGGGAATGAATGAATGAATGAATGAATGAATGAATGAATTTATTTATTTATTTATTTATTTATTTATTTTTAAAGATTTTATTTATTTATTTGAGAGAGAGAGAAAGCATGAGGTGGGGAGGGTCAGAGGGAGAAGCAGACTCCTCGCTGAGCAAGGAGCCCGATGCGGGACTCGATCCCGGGACTCCAGGATCATGACCTGAGCCGAAGGCAGTCGCTTAACCAACTGAGCCACCCAGGCGCCCAAGAGGGAATATTTAAAAGCAGCCTGTTTTAATGGCCCTAACATGGGGTGTGGACGGCGTGGCCTCTCAGAGTTCCCCTATCAGTGCAGGGAACTTCCTGCACTAGGAACTGATGGACACGGATGTCCATCTGGCGGTACATGAGAGGAGCAGGGGTTAGGAGGCCCCAGGATTTCCACTGTTTCTAGCTATAAGCTCCACGATTAGGCTTGGGGGAAGGCTTGGTGTCGCCCGATTAGCTGCCGTGGTGCTTTGGTCACCCCAAGTCCAAGTCCCTTTTTGCCTTCCCAAACCTTCCTCCCTTCCTTGGCCCCAGTCTCAACTTGGTTCATTATAGACTTTTTTTTTTTTTTGCATTAATTGTGATTCTAAAAAACACTGCTATGAAGTATCATTTTTGTCTTGATTGTTGAGTTTTTTGGTGCCCCCTTAAATTCTGTACCCAAGGCAAATGCCTCCCTCCTGTCCCCCTAATCCTGGCTCCCTACAGGAATCTCAGAAGGGCCTGGGTGGCCAGCTTCTTGCCTCTAAGCATCCTCAACAGGCTCCCTCCTCATGTGCGGGTTCCTGCTGCTGCAGCCACCCAGGCTGCCTGCCCTGAGAAAGAAGGAAACGCGGCGACTCTGTGGCATCTCTACGTACCCAGATGGCTTGGAACGGAAACTGACTGCCCAGGGAACCAGCTGGGTGAGGTTGTGGTCTCAGGTGATGGGGCTGTTTGCCACAATTCATTTGACCAGCAGAAAATTTATAGGTTGCATTTGCAAGAGGGCAGGAGAGAAGGAAGGAGGAATAGGAGAGCCCCACTTGGCAGGAGAATCCACATCCCTTCTCCAAATAAAGAGAAGTAACTGGATGAAACTGGGCCTGGGGCGGGGACAGGGGTCACCCAGTTGGCTCAGTCAGGAGAGCATGAGACTCTTGACCTCAACGTCATGAGTTCAAGCCCCAGGTTGCGCGTAGACATGATTTAAGAGACAGAGAGAGAGAGAGAAAATGGGCACAGCATGGGAAGAGGCAGCTGTGTGCAGGACTAAGCCGGCGCTGTGTTCAGCCCTGCAGCGCCACCTGCTGGCTCCATTTTCTTCTGTTCCTTAACAGCCAACACCGCAATCTCAAAGAAATGTCATTTTGTCCTTCTCAACAAGCTTACAGTAAAAATATTAGCTCCCTTTGGGCTCTGGGAAGCTATAAAAATTTCCAAATTTCTCTTTTTCCAGTGACACTTGCATGTCAAAGGTTTCCGGGAAAAAAGTAAAAATGGGTTCAGTAAGGCACAGCCTTTTTTCTGTCTACTTCACTGCTCAGCAACCTTCCAGAGCTCCACATTACCAAAGAACCAAATTCATGGTCCTTAAGCACCCGGTGGTCCTCCATGATCTGAGTCCAGACCATGTGAGGATTCTCTGCAACCCCGGACACCCTGATACCTCCTGAGAAAGTCTCCAGCTTTCTCATCTCAGAGCCCCCAGCGTCCACTGTTTTCTCGGTCCTTGATGCTCCCTTCGAGTCTCCTCTCATTAAAATTCCCCTTAAATGGCCAGACGGATGATAAACAAGATGT